CAGAGGTACAAGTGCGTGTATGTGTGTCTGTGAGAGTTGATACTGTAAGTGTATCAACAGAGGTACAAGTGCGTGTATGTGTGTCTGTGAGAGGTGATACTGTAAGTGTATCAACAGAGGTACAAGTGCGTGTATGTGTGTCTGTGAGAGGTGATGCTGTAAGTGTATCAACAGAGGCAGTTGTGCAGGACGTGTTTGTGTGCGTGTGTTAGACGTTCATTCTTCAAGTGTTCAACAGAGACGTTGTTGGCAAACACTTACATGCGTATGAGGTTATCAGATGCCTTGTGTATCAACGGAGGAACATGTGTATGTGAGTGAAAGATGTATACTTCAAGTGTATATAAAGGCAACGATGGCAAACATGCACATGTGTGTCTGTGTGTGTGTGTGAGAGAGAGAGAGAGAGAGAGAGAGAGACAAAGCGAGAGAAAGAGTGAATGAGAGAGCGCGAGAGATACCTTGTGCATCAATAGACGTACATGTGTGAAGGACATTTTTCAAGTGTACCAACAGAGGTAAGTTATGTGTGTTTGTGGAAGAGGTACATACTTGTGTGCGAGTGTGTTTAGACTAAAACATATTTTATTCTCATGAAAAGGATTGGGCACACGTTATAACAACTAGGAACGCCCAATTGCATCAATTCATTTCCATCTGATATAAAAAATCACATTAAATGACTGTGGTACTAGTTCTTTGAGATATGAAGGTGTCAAATTGTTAATTTATATTTTATAAAATAAACACAATTTACGTTTTCTCCTACGCTCTGATAAGGGTTCCCAGGAAGTTTCGAAATCCAATTTGTTGATAGAAGTAGGGCTTGTTAAATCAGTTACGATTCTTGCTGCTTCTAGTTGGAGTTTTTCTAATGTATCACTCTGCTCTTTGGTATAACCGTCCCAAACTTCATATGCATAAAAAGAAATTATTCAAAATGTGGTCTAACAAAAATTCCATAAATATTGTTCAGCAAACTACGACATAGCATAAACTGAAGCTTTCTCATTAAATGAATCATCTTTGATGTAGTTTTAGTTTTAATACATATCAACAGAGGTACATGTGTTGGTAACTTTATTGTTTAACCAAGCAATCAGGCAAGAAATCTTGTCGTGATCATTGATTCAATATTCAGTTTGAAAAAACATGTGAAAAGCATCTGCAAAAGTGCTGACCATAATATGAGGAACATGAGATGAACAAATACTCTATCAAACAGCTTCGTCCATGCATGTGTCACCTCAAGGTGTGACTATTGTATCAGTCAGTGTGCATGTGTCACCTCAAGGTGAGACTACTGAACAGTCTCCATGCATGTGTCACTTCAAGCTGAGACTACTGTATCAGTCTGTGTGCATGTGTCACCTCAAGGTGAGACTATTGAACAGTCTCCATGCATGTGTCACCTCAAGGTGAGACTATTGTATCAGTCTGTGTGCATGTGTCACCTCAAAGTGAGACTAATGAACAGTCTCCATGCATGTGTCACCTCAAGGTGAGACTATCGAAGCAGTCCCCATGCATGTGTCACTTCAAGGTGAGACTATTGTATCAGTCTGTGTGCATGTGTCACTTCAAGGTGAGACTAATGAACAGTCTCCATGCATGTGTCACTTCAAGGTGAGACTATCGAAGCAGTCCCCATGCATGTGTCACTTCAAGGTGAGACTACGGCAACATTCTCCATACATGTGTCACTTCAAGGTGAGACTATCGCAACAGTCTCCGTACATGTGTCACTTCAAGGTAAGACTATTGCAGCATTCTCCATGCTCAGTTTCACGTCAAGGTGAGACTATTGTATCAGTCGGTGTGCGTGTGTCACTTCAAGATGCAGAGAGAGAAAGAGGGAGAGAGAGAGTGTGTGTGTGTGTGTGTCTGAGAGAGAAAGGTACATACTTCAAGTGTTTCAACAGAGGTACATGATTTGTATCTGTGTATCTGTGTGTGTGTGTGTGTGTGTGTGTGTGTGTGTGTGTGTTTGTGTGTGTGTGTGTATGTGTGTGTGTGTGTGTGTGTGTGTGTGTGTGTGTGTGTGTGTGTGTGTGTGTGTGTGTGTGTGTGTGTGTGTGTGTGTGTGTGTGTGTGTGTGTGTGTGTGTGTGTGTGTGTGTGTGTGGAGGGAGGGAAAGGTGACATAGTCTTAGTTTATCGAGAGATGCCTGGATCATAAACATTTACATGTGTGCGTGTCAGGTACTTCACGTGTATCACCACATGTATTGATTTTCAGATGTATGTGTATGTGCGTATGTATGCACCAGGTACTTACATCATAAATAGAGTCAGTGCTAGCGAACACCTACATGTTTGTGTGTTCATGGTACATATATCAATTATAAACAGAGGCAGTGGTGTCAAACACGTGAGTGTCTATCTGTCTGTCTGTGTATCTGTCTGTTTGTGTCAGGTACATCCTATCACATCTATCACATGGACATATGTTTGTGTGTCAGTTGCCCCCTTTACACATCGTCAACCAAACAACCCCCGAAGAACGGAGGGTCGGTGTTTCGATCCCCCGACCATGTCCTACCAACACATGTACAGAGATACTCGTTGTTCTAACCAACACTAGCCCAGCAGCAAAGATTACTGGTCCTCATTCAAACGTACACATTCTTAAAAATGAATACAATTACAGGATTTAATTATTAACTTCAACTTTGTAGTTATATCATCCAACAACCAGCTCCCCATCAACTACATGCCAGAACATGGCAGTGTCGGAGTTAAATGTTCCTGTCGAGTTTTCTTAAATTCAACTGCTTGCCCGTGACCATTTCAAATGCCATACAGAAATATATTGTCACGTGTCTTCCAGCCTGTAACAAAATGTGCTGTTGGTGTATTTTTAAAATGAGGAAGATACTTTTATAGAAGAATGAGATTCGTAACAAGAATGATTAATGGTGCAATATACCTATGAACTGTCCGAGATTAACCAATAAACCGTAATTCATTTATCATATAATGATTATTAAACTCATTTCATGGTCGTATCGTTTGTGCCTCTCGCTTTCGTAAGCGATATTAGTATCTGGTTTTTGTAACTTATCATCTTCCCGTGGCAAGAGAGTTGACTGACTATGAAAGTCCAGTTTCCACCCTTGCCGAACTAGACTGGTATTATGCAGTTAGATTTGGGCTGGACTAACGAGTCTATGCATAGTCCTCTTACAATCGCGCACCAAAATCGAAATCCGGTTCGTAAACTGTTATGCAGAGTTCGAGTCGATTGCAAGATTTGCACAGCATGTGCACCGCCAACTCGCTGTCAACAGATATTTTCCAAATCTTTTCAAGTTTTAAATCAAGGTGCTCACGTGATTTGATGCACTTAGCGATGTAAGAGCCGTTTTATCACAACATAGATCTTGATTGTCGATCAGATCGTCTTGACTGGGCGCCGCCATATTGTTTGAAGCAAATGCAAGTGATACGATAGGTGGAATCTGATTGGTCAATAGGAGAGGCATAGCAGGGACATAACTCGTAACAGCCACTGGTGGCGCTACGATCGAGACCAGAAATTCCAGCCTAGTTCGGCAAGGGTGGAAACTAGACTTTTAAAGTCAGTTAACTCTCTTACCTCGGGAAGATGGTAACTTATCGGCAGCTCCAAATTATTTGCGATCCTGGGCAGATCCTCACGCCGGCAGTAAGAATAATTGGGTCGGCAGCATAAGAGTTAATGTGCTTCATTCTCACAATGGATTACACCCATTCACATCACTGAAAGAGAGGTCACGGACGCTATCAATAATCTGAGTATGGGCAAGTCCGCAGGTGAAGATGGGATTCCCCCTGAATTCTTTAAACTACCATCAGATCTCTTTGCACCATACTTGAAGTTATTGTTCAATAAGATTTTAGACATGGGAGTGTTTCCAGAATGTTGGAATTTAAGTATGATTATTTCATTATATAAATCTGGGTCAGTTTGTGAACCAAGTAAACATAGAGGCATTTCACTTCTAAATGTTATTGGAAAAATCTTCACGTCAATCATAGAAAAACGTTTGAGAATATGGATGGAAGTAAATGATTTACTGTCCGAGTCTCAAGCAGGGATCCGACCAAACTACTCTACTCTTGATAATTTGTTTGTTTTACAAGCCTCTTGTTCTAAATATTTGTGCCAAACCAGAGGTCGCTTTTATTGTGTATTTCTTGACTATAAAAAAGCTTTTGACCATGTTAATAGGAAATAAATGATGTATTTATTTTTTACTAAAGGGTGTCATGGTAAATTGTCTGTACTTTTAAAAAACATGTGTGAATCAGCCAGCGCATGTATACAGGTCAATAATGAACGTACTGACTGCTTTGTAACATCCTCCGGTGTACGACAAGGTTGTGTTGTAAGCCCGTTGTTGTTTATATTTTTCATAAATGAACTTGCCATAGATAGTTGCCAACAAGTGTAAATTGGCACGGCTCCCATGGCCGAAAGCTATGAACACACAATGCCATTTCGAAAGTGGTCAAATGTAACACATGTTATATTTGGGATAGCACTTTCTTTCAGAGGGGTACACAAGGTACATGATCTAGACTGCCAGTTGTCGGACTTTCATATCGTGGAAGCCTCGGTGGCTGATTGGGTTAGGATGCTGACTTCGTGTGCTGGCGATTACGTGCCTCACTCTGGCGGTGTGGTTTCGAATCCCGGGCGGGACTCAACCACAAAAAGTACGATAATCTGTACTTTACTTAGAAAGTGTTATCCCAAATATAACATTTGTTTCCTTTGATCACTTTCAAATTGGCATGGTGTGTTCAATGTATGAAATGGTTTGCATGCCTTAAAGATTAAAGTGTCATATGTTTCGGTTCAGTGGCAGTAATTTGATACAGGCATTAATGTTGACTTACGTGGCAGCACTTTAATGAAGCGCTCATAAAATCACAAATGTTTGCCCATGGGGATTCACTATGTCAGCTCGTGTAATTATTTTTTATCAACATCCCATGTGAAGCACAACAATAATCAACTGTTACAAGTTAACATTTATTTCAAAGAGCTCACATATCTAGATGAAACACAGCATGAGCGCTCACAGCAAATACTCAAGTAACAACGTTATCAATAACAACAGTTCATCTACACGTATGAAGGACGTGCAATTATCTTAACACCGACTCAACATCTACATGAGACTAGGAGCGGAGGCGGGGCCGGCTGTCCCAGTCGGGGCTCCAGACGCGGCCATATTGGAAGGATTGTTGCTGTCAAAGATCACAGAATTCTGACCATTGCTGTCGAGGAGGTAATCACCAAGGCCAAGATTGGAGCGAGAAGGCCCGAAGCCACCACCGAGGTCGGTAGAGTAGACATCGATTCCATTACGGAATATGTCTGAAGCGCCGTTGGTACCTTGATAGATGGGGCCGGAGCCGAGAGGATCTAGGTAGGTTTGGGCGTCAGCAGGATCGTTGTATGGAGCGCCAGGGCCGTTGTACAGATCAGTGGGCTGACCAGCAGGACCGTTGTACAGATCCGCGGGCTGACCAGCAGGGCCGTTGTACAGATCCGCGGGCTGACCAGCAGGACCGTTGTATGGAGCGCCAGGGCCGTTGTACAGATCCGCGGGCTGACCAGCAGGCCCGTTGTACAGATCAGCGGGCTGACCAGCAGGACCGTTGTATGGAGCGCCAGGGCCGTTGTACAGATCAGCGGGCTGACCAGCAGGACCGTTGTACAGATCCGCGGGCTGACCAGCAGGGCCGTTGTACAGATCCGCGGGCTGACCAGCAGGGCCGTTGTATGGAGCGCCAGGGCCGTTGTACAGATCCGCGGGTTGACCAGCAGGTCCGTTGTACAGATCCGCGGGCTGACCAGCAGGGCCGTTGTATGGAGCGCCAGATTGGTACAGGGGCTGACCTCCGGCGGGTTGATCGAAGATTTCTTGATAGGGAAGGCCGACTTGATCTATGTGGTTAGGGATTCCTGTGTTGACACCGGGACCTGGCTGGTATACGTCTGCGGGAGCTGGGTAGGTGTCTACACCTTTTGTCAGCACAACAGCTGGGGCAGAGGGAATAATCTGTGGCGCATGTTTCGTTGCGACCTTGGTCACAGCCGCTGGTGTTTTGTGATGTCCCACCTGTGTAGCGATCTGTGCAACATTTTGGGGTCTCACCAGGCGTTGCCCCAGAAGACCACGTGCTCCGAGAAGACGATTTCTGTACGACAGGGCACCAAGGGTTCGGGCTCTGAGAGCGAGATTGAGACCGTAGTTGCGAGCCAGCAGTGGATGGATCAGTGCTGCTGTAAGAATGAGGCATACAGATATTTAGTTCAACATTACTAGTAGCACAATTTCACCCCCTTAACACGTTTAGAGTCCAACCCATTGATATTCTGGAAGGTGTGTATGTGTGTGTGAAGGAGTCTGGTATTAATCGAAAAATGTCCCCGAAAATTCTTTAAAAAAATATTTAGGCTTCTGTCTGCTACAAAACATTACGTTGCAAGGTGAACAATCAGCCATATTGTTTAAAAAATAATATATCTGTTTTTGCAGCTGTAGCTGGAACGATATCTAATGTCGATGCACAATGCCAAAGGGGGACTAGATTATAAATGTCCACCATTATTAGTATCATATTCAAAGACACATTGTGATTTAGGTGTATCAGAAGTCATAGTCTTGTCTTACCTGGGTGGAATGGATGCAGGATGGATCTACGCTTCCTTTCTGTAAAACAGAGCAAAACAATCATTTTGACAGAATGTATTAGAAAGTACAGTTCTGTGATTGATAGAACCTACAGTCTGAGGACAAGATCTTAAGGCAATGAATTAAATATTACTCTGCCCCGCACTGTTATTATGCAGAGATGCCTAATACCAATCAGTGGATTGTCTGGTCCATACTAGAGTCTTTAGCGGTTGCCGTCATATTATTGGAATATTGCTGAGCGCGGCGTTAAACTGTAGAGACATATTGGACTTACTTCCTAAGGTGCTGTAGGCGTGATGAGATGACAATGCATGTGCACCCATCATAGGGTGATCATATACTGAAATAAGGAGAACATTCATGACAAGTGAATTATAAATAACCATTTATAAGAAACATAAACCATTTACATAATCACAAGAACTATCCACAAAAACAGAAACTATTGAAAGATTATGGGAATATCATACGCAAGTTTTTATTAATTACTTTCAAATAGTAATGATACCAGGGTTTTTCAAAATTGAACGTCTTTAGTAAGCGTTATTCAGATAACTTTTATCAAACTGGAATCAGGTAGTTCACAATACATTAATATCTGTTTATGTTTTCTGTCTACTTCAATCATGTAAATCCTGGTAATCACAATGATATCGTGATTGTTTCTGAACTGAAAATTAACAAATTACTGTAAGTAAGTACAGATAATCTTACGATGATCCACGTTGTCGCTGACGAAGGTCCGCCTGTTTGATCCACGACCTTGAGTGATTACCACTGGAAGGTGATCAAACATTGAATATTAAATAAAGAATATTGTGTATTCTACATATTTTACAACATAATAAAGTTGAATAGAGTTGAATAAAGTTACTTTTATATGAAACGCATTTGGCTTCAGTTTTGTTTCATATAATTGCTATTGCAAATGCATTGACCAATGTACAACAATTAATGTATATAACATAAACGGCTTATGTATATTAATATGGTATCACATTTATATATTCCCAGAAGTAAATGATGGTTCATCTGAAATGTATACCATTATTCTTGTCTTACGAACGTGATCACGTTTCCATTGTTTGTTAATTCTGAACCTGATCTATAAGTATTGGAAATGCTCTTACTACGACATCTAGTTAGTGAGCATATCATAGCCTGGGACATTTTCCCAATATTGGGAATCGAACCCGGGCCATCTGTGTACGAAGCCTATTAGACCAGCTCCCGCCCCATACTTCAAAATCTATTCAATCAGCCTATTGAGGAAAGGGTTGAAGACGAGGATGACTCACAGTGATCTGGTTTGTCTGGTCTTTCGTATACACGAACAAGTCTATGACGTCCGTCCCTCCCAGGAATAAGACGATAATCTGAAACATTTGTTTGGTTGATGCTAACATGTGACATGTCAAAACATTAAAGCAAGTTCAAAAACTTCTATTTCATAAATATGACTGACACGAAAAGACTGATTTAGTAGATTTAACAGGTTAAACGTGTTTTAAACATTACATTAAAAACATATGAATACAATATTTACCTGGTGAGCCATAGTCGTAAATCGGTCGGAAACGCAAACCTGAAAACGAAGACAGAATTCACTTGAGCAGGAGCTGAAGTCTATATATGGAGCGAGGAGCGACACCAGTGGAAGTGGAAATGAACTCGCAATATGATTGTAATACAAACAATAATGAAGACGATGCTGAATCTATACGTTAAACAGAATAAATACGGACTGGGGAGTCATTAGTATTTCTTTCTGTAAACATTTGCGAATGAGCACGTTCACAAATCTACGTTCACGTATCAGTGTAAAATTTTGAGTGAGTGATTCGGTCTGCCGCTTTGAATATCTTTTTTAGTTATCACGGCGTGTCAGTTTGATATGGGAGGAAATCCCAAAGTGATGCGGATGGGGATGTTCCACTTTGATGGAACCACGGTTATGTAGGTCCGTTGTGAAACCAACGAGTATGGTGCTGACAAACCTAGTAATATAATCGGATCGAATCTGTAATTGGTACCCATGATCATTAGCATTGCCAAACTGTGACAAGTAATAAAGCTGTCTGGAGTATCCTTTTGCAGTGACAGAAAATTAGTGATAGAAGTTGTACTCACTGTTGATTGCTAAAATCCCAACGATCACCAAGAAGGCCACAATAGTTAGCTTAGACATATTTCCAAAGAGTTTTATTATCTGAAAATACAAGGAAAGGTCATGGAATATGTACAATGGGTAACAATGGGTACAATGATTTTCAATGGGTCTCGGGAACAAATAGCATTAGTTACGTTGCATCATGATATTATCAAATACCAGAAACCATTGATACTGTTTGAAAGCAAAGAAAACAAAAATTGATAACATCAAACAAACTGTATTACTTTAGAAACGACTATAAGTGTCAAGCTGAAATATCAGTATTCGTGTGACCCGTGAAGATCCGGAATACAATAGGTCTTCAGCGATCCATGCTTGTCACAAGAGGCTACTTACGGGATCGGGTGGTCAGGCTCGCTGACGTGGTTGATGCATGTCATTTTATCCCAAATGCGAACATCGATGCTCATGACATCGATCCCTGGATTGTCTGGTCCAGACTCGATTATTTACATACCGCCGTCATGTAGCTGGAATATTGTTGAGTACGGCGTTAAACAACAAACAAACAGTACTCGTGTAGATTTAGTACTCGTTAGTTTGTTGTTTAACGCCACAACATCTTAGCTATGTGAAATGTATATCCAGTGATCGATATCATGAGCATAGATGTACGCTTTTGGGATAAAATGACATGGATCAACCACGTCAGCGAGCCTGACCACCCGATCCCGTAAGTAGCCTCTTGTGACATGAAGAGGATCGATCTAGGCAATTGGGATACGATGACATCAACATCAAACAAGTCAGCGAACTTGACCACCGTTAGTCGCCTCTTGCGCCAAGCAGAGTTCAGTACACCAATAGAAACCAAGATATGTATTGACAAGATTCAAGCTGTGAATTGAACCAGTACTGTTACCATGTAAAGCTGCTGCAATGTCTGAGGGCAACTACCAGCTTACCTGATGCTGTGTTGTTGACTGTACCTTTGAGAGGACAAGTGACGTTCATTTGACCACTGGTCACTTATATATTCCCTGGGACGAGTCATACTGACCTCACATTGCGTCATCACAGTAGGTACTTAACGCGTGTCCAACATATGTCACCATAGAGCTGGTATTGTTATGATCAGGCCCGGTCCCCGGGCAATACATTTGATATATGGGTTAATTCTAAACAAATGGTTCACTGACAATTAAGCTAAATACTTTGTTCATTGTAGTCTCTGTTGACGTGACTAGATTTAGGACGGCCAGCGTCACAGTGACGTTTGTCTGGAACATACATCCGTGTGTTGCAATTTAATAACATTCGTGTGTCAAATTATTATTACCGTTACGCGATATTTTATCTTTCAAAACTCAGATAATACCTTAAATTAATGTACACAGCATTTATTAGTATTAGTAAGTAAACCTTGCAGATATTACTTACATTGGTGATGTATGAGTAACACTGACAGTAGGTTCTCATTGTTAAAATAATTTATGATTTTGATATTTGACGAACTATATTGTTCATAAACTGAAGTGTAACGGTGTGTAAGCAACTGTGCCTGTGTGACAGTGGTAGACACTTCATTTGTTTTTATTATATTTCCGAAACGACAAATGTCTGTGGCATTATTGCCTTTACCTCAAGCAACATCCGCTCAACAGATCATCAGCTCGTGCCGTCTATTGTTTAGTCAGAGATTCAACCTTACAAGAATGTGCGCTCTCTCCTGCTTCAACAAACCCAATCAAGACCCACCTGTTCAAAAAACACTCTGCCTGACTATAAGCTTCATTGCAGCGCACAGAGCACTTATGCACAGTGAATGCTGCGCTATACAAATGCATATATTATTATTATTATTATTATTATTATTTATTTATTTATTTTATTATTATTATTATTATTATTATTATTATTATTATTATTATCCTCGTTTAACCCTTAAGACAGGGCATGCATTGTGATCTCTGTTTTAGATTTATATCAAGCTTCAGGTAAATCAATGATTTTTTAGCGTTCAATAAAGGTCAAATAACGAATACCATTCCGCTGACTTACCCACCTAAACGAGAAATATAAGAGACCAGTAACACCGCCTCATCTGTTTCATATTTAGATCTATATATTAAGCTTCAGAATGACAAAAACATATCCATAAAACTGAATGACAAGAGTGATGGCTTCCCCTAGATGTCGGTCAGTATTCCAGCAGCTCCAGCCTTTCGTGTCTACATGCATGGGCGGATACAGTTTTTTTTAAAGGGGGGTGCACAACTAAGATCTATTCATTGTCTTTGGTGGTAATGCAGAAATAAAGGGGGGTGCGCACAAAAGTTTCAAGAGTGTTACACGACGCTTGATTAAAAGTTGTTAATTATAATGATTATTATGATTTGTTTGTTTGTTGGTTTGTTTTTTTTTTTGTTTAACGCCGCACTCAGCAATATTCAAGTTATTTGACAGCGGCCTGGAACTAATCGAGTCTGGTTAATTCAGTGATTGACACCATGAGCATCGATCCACGCAATTGGGATACGATGACATGCATCAACCAAGTCAGCGAGCCTGACCACCCAATCCCGTTAGTCGCCTCTTACAACTACGTTCTTCATATCTATGCATGTCTTTTGATATTAAGTTGTCAATGTACATATCGCATGCTCTGAAGCTGAGAAGTAAATATATATAAATGTATATACACCCATTACTATATGTACTATTGGCCTGTGGTCTCTCAGTATTATGAATAAACACATACGGAATTTATCTTTTTATATATATTTAAGTTTGTAAAATTAACATGATGCAATCATCTTCTTCAGCGAGTGGCGTTATCATGTTGAAAATTACTCTCATTATAGATTGCAGAGTGCAGTTAACACAGACGCTTAAGTACAAACATTAACGATCACAAATGACAACAACGTTAGTTATCCAAATCACGAATAATGTTCTACCTATTTGCCTAGGGGGACCATTACGGATGGTGGAAGTGGGGCTAAATATGACATTTGTGGTACGGATATGTTAACACAGATATAGCACGGCACTAATGAGAGTACATAAAGTCATTCCGATGAAAACATCAATGCCTATTGGAAATGATTATAATTAGAAACAGTTCGTACAAAGTAACTGAGTGAGTGAGTATGGTTTTACACCGCTTTTAGCAATACTCAAGCAATATCACGGCGGGGGACACCAGAAATGGGCTTCACACATTGTACCCATGTCGGGAATCGAACCCGGGTCTTCGGCGTGACGAGTGAACGCTTTAACCACTAGGCTACCCGACCGCCCCTCATACAAAGTAGAAGTGAACGTTGACTATTCTATTTTTATTCATTTTTTTATTCGTATCATTCCTAATATTCGGGAGGGGGTGTGTGGTGGGGTGGGCTGGGGGGTTGGGGTGTGAAGATGCCCCGATACATATTTTAACCATGTTTTTGAGAGATATGTCAACCATGTTGGTGAACTTAGTGCATGAAGTTGAATCATGTCGAAATCAGAGACGATATTGGTACGGTCTCTGGGGAATATTTCATGTTTGTTCATAAATATTGTTATGTCTCCAATGTTGATAGCGAAATAATCACGTAAAACATCTCACATAAACAACACCTATTATTTTTGTTTTTAAGGTGTTTAGAATTTTTTGACATTGCGGAGACTGAATGTTTAAGAAACCAAACTTGAGTTTCAAACGTTTTTGTTGTTTTTTTTCTTGTAAAAATTGAAAGCAATGCTTCGAAGATTACACAGACGGTATTTCATTAGAACAACAATGTTCATCTCCCTTTTTTAAGAAAAAATAATTATTATATCATTGTGATAACTGGGGTTATTGGTTTTTAGGCGAAGGTGATGACGACGGACTATAAAACATTGTAAACGCATTTATTAAAATCATTTTCGGCGGAAGAAGCCCTGAGGGGAAGATGCCTCAAGATGGACATTGATAAAGTGTCCAACTTTCTGTCCCTTGATATATTTGCGACTTGTGTCTGAAAAACTGAAAATGAAAAATGTATACAGAACAGAAATACCACGAAAATAAAAAATGAAAAGGAAAATGGTCAACCAGGGGACAAGCATGTGTAAGACATCGTGGAGAAGAAGCTAGCATTCTACGTTTGGAAATAATTTTGAGAAAAGATGCCATGCCTAGACACAAGAAAACTGTTCATCTACCACCACCACCACAACCACAGAACAGTAGCTGGCAATTTGACATTGGAAGTGGGGAAGAGATGGGATATTTTAACGAGATTAGAAAAATTAATTATTTAAATCCTTGTGTCTACTTTTAATAAAAGAAAAAACCTTGTAACAATGTCATTTTTGGGACAGCCAATTTATTTATGTTTTCAAGTGGGCTGAAGCATACATATTTGTTTCAAACATATTCAGGGACAATTTATTTTTGCAATAAAACACCAGCCCCTCACCCCTCAACGTCTTACAGATATAGCTTCATTGATCGGTCGACAAACCGTGCTCGGACATGGTTTGAAAGCATTCAGGGTAGTAAAAAAATCACAAATTTACTGTTGTCCCACTCTTTTAAAAGAATCTAACCAACAATTCCATCATGATCTGTTACTTTAACAAAGGAATAAAAGCGACAAAACCCTTTCCATATTCATAAGAAATCTCTGCCAAAAGCAAAGCCGACTGTATGATTCCGACTATATCATGAGCATGTGTTTCTGAATCATATGAATTGTTTATAAAATGTTAAGAAAAATTTGAAATTTTTAATTCATTGAAATGGTGAATAGCAAACAACAAGAAGTAATTGGAACACTATGTAAGAAGAGAAGAATCGGTGTGGGTTTGACTGATTTGTTTCTACAAATCACAGCTTGATAAACAATGATGCCAGTGACATGTGACATCTAGTGGTCTTTTTTGAGCAATCGGTTGTCTATGTCCAGTTTTCGATCATCCATTTCATGTCAAGTCAGTGAGTTCATGTAACTATTGTCTATGTTTGTCATATATTACTGAGCTTCTGACAGTTCGTGACTAAGCCTATATAGTCATCATCGAATGCAATACGTGACACCGCTGTCAATCAAATTTGACAAATTGTTTCTGAGCGTTAAGCGTGACAAATGTTATCCTACCCACTGATGTATTTACCCATGACTATCATGTATGTCTGTATGTCTGTATGTATGTATGTATGTATGTATGTATGTATGTATGTATATTCTAACTTGTGAATACATATGGAGGTCAGTCGCGGTGGTGTGAAATGGTGTTTAGCGTCGCGTCCAAGCTAATTGCACTTCAATAGCAATCTGCATGCAATTTATTTTGCCGATTTTATGTTGCTAGCCCACTGAGATACAATGCCGCAGTTTTACATGAAAACCCCAATCAGACACAGAATATTGGCTCCGAGCAGACCAGTCCTTCTTTTAACCCTTTAATGGCAGCGCCAGGTATGGTAACAAAAAGGACCATCTTGTAATGCCTTTTGGTATGAACCCCGGACCTTCCGACACTCTACAGCTACCACAAGGCGGAGGCGGTCCGATTACATATGGAACTAATACGTATAAGGTGTTTACGGGGTCCATTGTGAAAAAGTGTCAAAGCGTCAATGGCTAATTGACCCATTGTTTCATTTGATATATTCCCTTAGGGGCCCATTGTATGTCTCGTTTTAGCATTCCCCATACTAAGCCCCTCAAGCTAAATTCTTATGAACACGGAAAGCGTTTCATCGATTTTATTCACATTGAAAGCACAGTGTTCCTAAGTGACTTAGGTCTTGCATGGTTTGCACACATACACGTGCATGCACATTGCCATAAAAGTGCAATAACCTTGAACACGACATTAAACCCACTTTCATCTCACCTTGCATAACTATATACATGCATCAAACAAAATTCAGTTCAGTTCAATATACTAATCAGAGGGATTTCACATCATTAGAAACAGACACATGGTTAACAGATACACGTTTCATATCAGTAATTAAACATCCGTTTGGGCGTAAAGATGAACGCGTATTTATGTTCCAGAACAATCCATTTCAGCGACAATTAATTATTCGAATGATAATTCCTATGTCTAAACATACCCGTAACGATAGGGGAATCTACTGGTAAAAGTAACTCTTTTGTTGCCTTGGTGATCTGTTTGTACAGTAAACATAAATGTCCACCGGTGTCTGGAGTATAAGGGGCGGTCGGGTAGCCTGATGGTTAAAGCGTTCGCTAGTCACGCCTACGACCCGGGTTCGATTCCCGACATGGGTACAATGTGTGAAGCCCATTTCCGGTGTCCCCCGCCATGATATTGCTGGAATATTGCTAAAAGCGGCGTAAAACCATACTCACTCACTCACTCACTCTGGAGTATAATGCACATGGTAAACTCGCTGTGGAATCCAGCGATCATTCACAGAATTTCATGTGGTCATTCCATTTCACAACTTCTGTGGTACAATTGGGCATGTGACGATTTCAAAGAGCTTTATACGTCTCTTGATTGTTTGATCAAAATTATAGCATTCAGTGCCTCGGTAGAGCTTTATGGACGTTCTTATGGTAGGCGGGGCGGTCGGGTAGCCTAGTGGTTAAAGCGTTCGCTCGTCACGCCGAAGACCCGGGTTCGATTCCCGTCATGGGTACAATGTGTGAAGCCTATTTCTGGTGTCCTCTCGCCGTGATATTGCTGGAATATTGCTAAAAGCGGCGTAAAATCAAACTCACTCACTCACTCACTCTTATGGTAGGCATAAAGTGTTCTGTTTGGCATGTGGACAATGCCGGATCATTGGCAAAAATGATGTCCTATGCAATTCCCTATTTTGACGTGTACCATATGATCCCGTGTTTGCTCAAGTAAACACTTGACGTGCCTTTGCATGTCTTTGTGACGAGTGCCACTGATGGGGCTAACTTATTTGCTCGATGATTCATAAACACAATTTCATGATATACTCGGAACCTAACGATGGACTGTGGAAAGTCCAGTGACAATGGACGGGATTGTGTGGCTTTTTTTACATGTTTCCAGTGTCAGTGGATACTTTTACGGAGCTCATAGAATTTTGATCAGTAAACACACATTTATGTGTTCACTGCAAGTTGTATGTATTCGCAGTTTTCTGATATATATCGTCCAAACTGCACACATGGAGGACTTACATTAGTGTACTGAAAGTAAATGCTCTATAACGATTTATATGTGTATTGAGTGTAAATGCTTTATAACGATTTATTTGTGAATTGAACGTAATTGCTCTATTACGATTAATTTGTGTATTGGATGTAAATGCTTTAAAACGATTTATTTGTAATTTAAATGTAACTGCTCTATAACGATTTATTTGGGTATTGAATGTAAGTGCTTTATAACGATTTATTTGTGTATTGAATGTATATGCTTTATAACGATTTATTTGTGAATTAAATGTAACTGCTCTATAACGATTTATTTGTGTATTGAATGTAAATGCTTTATAACGATTTATTTGTGTATTGAACGTAAATGCTTTATAACTGTTTACTTGTGCATTGTATGTATATGCTTTCTTACAATGTACTTGTGTATTGAATGTTTATGCTTCATCACGATATATTTTTATAAATGTACTTGAACTGAACTTGACTGAAGCCCCCGAGTCTCATCATAAGCTCAGCATCATTTATCTTTGCTGAGTCAACTACAAAAGAAATGTTAATACTGCGCCCCACTTTGTTGAAAAACGAATATAATTCTTGACGTTTTTCTTTACTTAAAAGCAGCAAATTCTGCACTTGTACACAACTTAGGTCATTAAAAATTAACATACTGTTTTATTCGTTTCAACAAAATCAGTAATGGTTCTCTCGTGTCACTGCATTTTTTGGTTCATCGATCACTCGATTGTCTGGTTTGTGTTGCGTCAGGCAATAAACACCTACTTTTTTATGCAAATTGTATGAATGGCGGGTACTAGTGGTAGGGCAGGACATGCTTACCCTTTATGCCAAGTGGAATCTGTCTCGGCAGTAGATCTAGGATGGTTATTCTCTTGCATTGACAATTTATATTGTATTATCTGTGAGTGAGTGCGTGGTTGGGGGGCATTTGTGAGGGTGGGCTGCTGAGGCAGTTTTGGGTTGGGAGGGTGGGTCTTTTCGTGTGAGTGATTTGGCCGTTTGTAGATATTATCCACCACCATAACCACCAGGGACCCCATGAATCATCTCTACACAATGCACTCATATGGGAAATCAAACGCCCTACACTCGGGCTCCCCTCTGAGAGAAAGTAACGTTACATGGTTGGAACTACACATTTTAGTTTCAATCAGTTAAAAACATGATAGTTATACCAGAACTTTCCAAAGAGTTTCACACAAATACAACACAAGTTTGAAAATACAAATGACACAGAGTAATTTATTCCACAGAACTTGTACATGGACACAATATGTTTAAGAAACAGATAATCGCATCTTCTTGAAATGGAGAACGACACAAAGGTACGAGGACAGCAATGTAAGCCACGTGGACGTCAACTGTCTGGACACACCTGAAACAAGAGATACTTTCATACAGGGATATAAGTCATAATTGTTTCACGCTTTACCTTTTATACGGGAAAAAACAGTCTTAGTAAGTCTAGCTTCTGAGTGAGTGAGTGAGTATGGTTTTACACGCTTTTAGCAATATTCCAGCAATATCATGGCGGGGGGGCCCAGAAGTTGGCTTCACACATTGTACCCATGTCGGGAATCGAACCCGGGTCTTCGGCGTGACGAGCGAACGCTTAAACCACTAGGCTACCCGACCGCCCCTCTAGGCTTCTGAGACAACACGTAAGCGCAGTAAAACTGTTTGACAGGCATATACATAAAATGGTAAATATATTGTATTTTAAACATAATGATTGCATATCGACTGATAAAATTATTAATTAGCATACTAGTGATATAATTGCTTCCAACATGTTATTTTAATATTCATTGAAACAATTAAGTTTTCCAAGTAGGAAGACCCATCTGAAATGTTTCTGTCTGTTTCTATTGAGACAATTTCGATATTTACGATATATTCATTAAAACCACATTTGTGGAGATCAGAATAGAAACTAAAGTTTTTAATTCCTTCCGCAATTGGATACTGAACTAAGGGACGATGGTCACAAAAGAAGCACATTTCCCACATATTTGGTTCCTGAAGATTAATTGAACTTTTGAAATAAAACCACTTAATGCGAGGTACATATCTGTGTGCCTAGACGTTGCATTGGCATCCATCTCGAATATGTATGAACAAATGCAATAACGTATTATGACCTCTTTCAGTTTAACAGCCTTTTTTAAGTAAGTAGTGTTTTGTGTTGTATATTTGTCTTAAAATTGCAATAAATCAAAGACTGGTCTTCAAGCAAAATTTGATCTCCGATTAAGATGAAATGCCCGAAGGGAAAATCCATTGTTTACCGTAACGTGATTATAACCCCATGACAAGTGGTTGATGATTGTCCAAAAATACCTGACATTTAGTTGCAAGAAACAATTTCTTTGTGAAAGCGATTCACTCAATCATACATTCTAGATACTCACGAAAGTATTCAAAACATTGTCGTTGAAATCTTGATAGACTGTAAAGGCGGAGATCCAATACCGGGGTTTGATATACCGCTAGAGGCCATCATGTCAGTCTCAAATGGAGAGGCTGCCGGAAAAAGTGACAGATTGATTGTAAGAAGAATGATTGACAATGATGACACAGAGAGGATTGTGACTGGTGACTACTTGGTTGTGCGATTGTACAAACACAGTCGCACCCGAGAACTGATATATACTATACTTTCAACACAATAATTGACGATAAAAAGTGACGTACAAAACTGGAGACAGGGCAAGAATTAAAAATTAATGAGCGTTATATCACTTTGACTTGTAACAACAGTTTTGGGTTCGAAATAAAACTTTAATGATACATGACGATAAAGCTTTGTTTTCAGATGAAAGTAGTTCAGTGTACATAATTTGGAGAATATTAGTATATATTTGTAAACTTGTATTGAACCGATAAATATATATTGCAATATACAATCATATAATATATATTGATAAAATTTGTAAGTAATGACTTTAACCGAATAATATGCACTGTAGCCATCTATTTGAATGACATCGTTCATGCCCTTTTCCAAATCTCCACGTATATAACGAGGGAGTACTTGAATTGGTTTTAACATCAAGCACATAATATTATTAGCGCAGCCTTTATTTACTCGCAATGGCAGACTAGCATGGCTGTAAACCTGTAAATATGTTTAGCATCCTCGCTTTTTTGTTAGTATGTATTCCTAACCCCCACATGTCCTACATAGGTCATTGTATTCATTTTGATAAATGTATAAGATACTTCAGACATATGTTAAAAGATATCCCTAGGTAATAAATTTCGGCACTTAAATACAAGTGTGGCACTGTGTAAACACAATCAAATGCTGTTCGTTTTAAAATGAACACAGGATACCACTTTTCTGTAAGTGCAAATTGACGGAAATATATATTGAGCGGTACCTTTCTGTTCCAGGTGCATAATAATTTATCCAAGCTAAACATTACGCATGAATATGGAAAGGGTGACAGATCATTGGCTGCCAAGAGGCTATTTTCCAACTAAAAAAATATCTTCAGCGTAGTAGCAAAATGTGATAATGTATAGTGCCTTTGTTTTTGTTTGCAAATCATCGTTTATACAACATATTATTACAAACTTTAAAGTTATTACTGAAAACAAATTGGATCACATGAGCATTTCCCATCACCATAATGTTCAACAGGTACTGTAGCTTTTAACACAATGCTTACATGAGACGCGTGGCTGCCCTGAAACATAAAAGAAAGTCAGTAACATTTATTAAGGCATGTCTCTGGAACTATCAAACTGCCCCTCCAATTCAGAATTACATGTAGAAACAACTAGGGTGTATAATGTTTCTTACAACAGTCACAATGTTCCACTGTCGTCGTCTGAGATAACCTATCGTATCTAACCCCATGTTTGCAGGAACAGTAGTTTACTCAGCATTTATTAAAGAAAACGTGAGGACGTTAAACTGTCATGATGATTCATATGTATGATGTTTTTACTTGAAGAAGTTTAAAGAAGAATGCAATGGACGGGTATGATATGAGATCCATTAAGTAATAATAATGTTTCCAGGAGGATATTTGTAATATTTTAAACTGAGTCCTTGACTGACGATATAAAGGTGCAAATACAGATAGTACATGTCTGTGGTACTGGGGTCATTGTGGGCAACGGTTTCATTCTTAGGTCTATTTTATTTTTTCGAATTTTTGACACATCTTGTGGACCTTAATGTTAATACTTTTCATTCATTCATTCATTCATTCATTCATTCATTCATTCATTGAGAAAGGAGTGATATTTTACGTAACGGTCAATATATCGGTCCAAATATTTTAAACGAACTTAATTTCGCCACGTTAATCTATTTACATTAACGCAAACTGAAGATCGCGAAAGTGGGGGATGGGTCACGCTCATATGGACCCTGATATGTCTGTAGTCATGCATAGCAAATTGATATAGAGCGGTTACATAATGTCTGTGGTACATCTATGCACAACTTAGATTGAATGACCTTTCATGTGTGAGGTCAAGGTTATCCAATCACACCTAGGTCAAGATTGTACGACACACGTTTGACGTACGGATTTAGTATCTTCACCACGTGGCAAAAAAGGATATTTACCATCAAACTACCAACCTGATAACCTCTTTTTAAAAAAATGTCATTCTTAAGTTCTATCATCGAACAGAAATCTCCTGTACGCATTAATATAGTAATTCACAAGTTCCGTGATTAGTCAGTCGCAAGGTAACAGGTAATATAGTTCCAACTGAATTTGTTTTTCTACGACAACATTGGCATAATATATACTTTGTAAAGGTGATTTTTAAAGGACAATAGAATATATGACCAAAAGGTTTATAAGGCGACTTATTTTTACGACAGTTTACCATTAGGTTTAATTTCCTACATAATTACATGTAAGTTGACTCTGTATTAATTACGTATACGCAGCGATGTTATGGTATATATAAGACACTTAATACGGCTTAATGCTTACATTTTGCATACTTTGTATTTACGCATTTTGCTCTCATTATAAGGACACATTGACAACACATATTTTTGTTGATAATTGATTAAACATTATCGTTGGTTATAAAAAATATCATGTCCCATTTCATGTCACGTTTATGTCCCTCTTTTTTCGCTAATCTCTGGACAGATAATATGTATTCCATTCGGGACATCAACTTGATATGAAATGAGAAGTTCGATTAATATACTCCACATAATGGTTAACAAGGACGCCACAATGCAACATTCACTCACCTGTCGGAAAGGATGGATCTGCATTCAAAGCTGCAACAAATGATAAAAATTTTGATAATGCTTTGTTGACAAAAATAACACATGGTTACAATGTTATCGAAACAAATCCACTTATGTTTTATTGATTTTAATAATCATGTCAGTTTCCAAATTAATATTAAACATACATACTCATGCCTGTAGTCATTCGTAAGCCGCCATCTTGGACCGGCGCTGTTAACGAAGATAATTTGTACATTAATTAGATGGGTGTGTACTGCAATGGAACATCGTATAAATTCTGTTATCACTTTTATGTAACAGTCCTCATGATGTATAAAAGTAGGTCAACAAGTCTCAGAATCCTCCATTTACCCACTCAGGATCAATCACTTATTGCTGACCTTCAATCTCATTAAAATCAGATCTAAGTTCTCGCTACCACAAAACAAAGATTTGAGGACATCCCATTACGGGTCACGTCAGAACGACCATTCGCGAACTTTGACCGACCACTGAAATGACTAACAAGAAGTCGACATCGGCTAATTAGAAAGCAACTTTCTCGTTTCAACCTGGCGACTTCCATTTCAGACTACGCTTGAAAAATATGTTGACACATTTCTCGATTAAAATTTTGAAAACTGAACAAACGAACATTCCTGAATGTCTAATATATGATTGAGATTGTCTAATATATGGTTGAGATTGTATGGCAGTGCCTCCTCCGTTCAAACGTTTATCCCACGGAAGTGTGAGATAGACGATAATTTTGACGGAATCAGTCGAACAGGCCGTAACTGTCGTTTGGAATACCCCCTGTTAACGTTTTCGAGGTTGCATGACTAGAAAACACATTCCGACTGTTACTTTCAAGATCTGGCAAGCGACGCTTTGATTGGTCGAATGAAAGGTCGTTCTGACGTGACCCGTAATGGGATGTCCTCAGATCTTTGTTAAGCGATAAGGAGAACTAAGATGTGATTTTAATGAGATTGTGCTGACCTTGAAAAACGATTTTCTTACTGCGTCAAACAACGATAGACTATCCGAATAGATAGATTCCACAGTAGGTCTTGCTGGCGCTGAATACATTCATATGATACAAATAGTTTAATTCTCAATGTTTACAATTGCTGACGTTGTGATGACTTAGTCGACATGTACTGTTGTGTCGAACTTCGAACCAAATCGATTCAGGCGAATATATATTCGTCCCCAGACATGTCAAGCAATGTTTGTGAAATGTATTTCCTTATATTCTCATTTATCTGGCAAAAAGGATTCCCTGTGGCGTAAAAGGTAAAATTTTGGTGCAAAAGTTGGTTGGTTGGTTTGTTGTTTAACGCCGCACTCAGCAATATTCCAGCTATATGACGGCGGTCTGTAAATAATCGAGTCTGGACCAGACAATCCAGTGATTAATATTATGAGCATCGATCCACGCAATTGGGATCGATGACATGCATCAACCAAGTCAGCGAGCCTTACCACCCGATCCCGTTAGTCACCTTTTACGGCAAGCATGGTGGTGCAAAAGTATATGAATGGATCACTGAAAATCAGTGAAGACAAAGGTGTTCGCGAAAAGGGTAAGCATGTCCTGCTCTACCGGTAGCACCCGCCACTCGCACAATTTGAATAAGAAAGTAGGCGTTTGTTGCCGGACACCACACATAGGTACTACTGCCATGCGACGGCAGCATGTAAACAAACCAGACAATCAAGTGATGGACCAGTCACAGATTGTCTTGAGACATGTTGAATACTTCCGTACTTACCTGACGAAAAGGACGCCAGTCTACCTGTAATAGATAGATGAACACTAAACACTAAAGTCATAACATGAAAGCACGATCCAAAAACTTAAACTAAAGATTTGTTTGATTGTTTGTTTAACGCCGCATTCAGCAATATTCAAGCTATATGACGGTGGTCTGTATGTAATCGAGTCTAGACAAGACAATCCAGTGATTTACATCATGAGCATCGATACAATGACATGTGTCAACCAAGTCAGCGAGCCTGACCACCCGAACCCGTTAACCGCCTCTTACGACAAGCATAGTCGCCTTTTACGGAAAGTATGGTTTGCTGAAGATCTATTCTCTTACCGGGTCTTCGGCGTGACAACGGAGCACTTTAACCACGAGGCTACCCCACTGCTCGATGCCAGGAGGAATAAATTGGGGGACTGATAAATAATTTAGCACTAAACCGGCATGTCAGTTGTGGGAGGATACCCCAAAGTGGCACAGAAGACTTCAGAAATTGCGAAACCGAATGTCATGTCTATGATACCGACAGACCAATAATTCGATGCAAATCCAGCATTCAGATTCAAACCTACTACTAGCGGACCCTGGCATCTGAATGACACATTTCTGCCCCTTTATTTGAAGACTGATTGCACTCTCTGTTCAGATTTTACGCAGTACAGTACGCGTGTGATATGTTAGTGTTTGTTTATCGCCGCACTCAGCAATATCCCAGCTGATAATGAATCAGATAATTTTTAAACCATCGAATTTCGAAAATCCAATGTTTGACATCGTGAGCACCGATCTACGCAACTTAGATACTATTACCAGCATCAACCAAGCAGCGAGCCTGACCACCCGATGCCGTTAGTCGACTCTTACGACAAGCAAGGGTTGCTGAAGACCAATTCTAACCAGGATTTTCACGGGATTGATTGCAAATAATACAACAAACTGATACTTTATGCATACCGAATGCGTCATTCAGCATATTAGCTTCTTGTTGTGGACCTGAAATGGAGTACAAAATGTTAAAGTTTTCAAACAGAATGTTTCAATTTTGATTAAAATCAAGACCACCCGGAAACCACACCGAAACCGTCCTGACGCCGTCTTAAACCCTTCACTATAGATACCTAAAGTAACTTCCTCATGGGAAATCATGTGGTGTAATTAGTTTTATTAACAAAATAAAACGAGAACAAATCCAAAATAGCGTTTACAATATACCACTAAAACTGAAAACATAATTATTGACATTTTTTCAAAACGGTTTCAGAATGGTTTCCGGAACGGAAGCCTGAGTTTACATGATGTGTTATTGGGTGGTTGAAAGTATTGCTATTCCCGTTCTGAACATGTCGTAACTTCTATTCTTTAACATAGCGTTTAACTAAACGTACAGCTATGCCAATCTATCCTTTAACATTAATCTATAGTACGATTATCGAAACATCAACATTGTTATGGAATTCTAATCCACATTCAGTGGATCCAAGCAGCTATTGGATACAAAGCTCGAAGTGCCAAAGCCAAGACCGCTAAGCCACATGAAACATGAGACTTCATTGAAGTGTTTGTCCCAGTACATGAGGCTGGGCTTATCTTGCGATGATGACTAGAGTAGGGCTCCTACCATTGTGAAGCAAGAACTATATAGGCAACCAAAATTTAGTAGGTTATTCATCTTTCGTAATTTTTATATGCGTAATATTTCGGTTCATTACGAATCGAGTAATCACGAAATATTGCGTTTTTCGTCATCCGTTTTTCACAATCCTGAACGATGAACTACTTTGTTATTCGTTTCACGAATATCACTCCTCAATGGCACATGCCATCGTTATTCGTCCCCCAATATATCCTATCATCACAGTTGCTGCTGTGTGATTAATTAATATATCTAAGCTAATAAACTCGAAAAACGACGAATCACTAACTTCTGGCTGCCAGCAAAGTATATGACAATCATCAAAGTGCACTTACCAAAGTTAGTGCCAAATGATAAAGTAGCGTCTAATAAACTCGGAAAACGGCGAATGACTAACTTCTGGCTGCCAGCAAAGTATATGACAATCATCAAAGTGCACTTACCAAAGTTAGTGCCAAATGATAAAGTAGCGTCTAAGGGTGTAGCTGAAAAGCGAAGTATGACAGAAGCAATGAGGTTTGTCAGAAGCAATGAACGTTATCTCAAATCTAATGGCAAGCATGAATGATTGTGTGTGAACTGTTATATCAAGCGTTTGCGGTAAAAGCTCTAACGAGCGAATGTACCCTTTGACGAATCAAAGATTATTATCACCACTTATGAATGCAAACCCATATGTCACATGAACAGATCGTCCCAATGGTATTGCCAGCAGTACAATATGATCTGATGTTTGTTTTTATCAGTGCAATTATATTTCCTCTCTTCATATTTCTTAAAGCATAAAGCTCGTCTAGTTAAGTTATTCCCCTTCACCGTTTTGAACTAATATAGCTCATGATGGTAGTGATGCCGATGACGTGACCTCATCGTATTGCTAAAAGCAAAGAGGCAACGTTACTTGATGTACACTCTCAAAAAACCGCATTGGCTCACTTTTAAAAATGTTAGTGTTTTCAATTAAATAGGCATATTTCATTTAATTTGACACACGGGTGATAGTCACATGTTCTGTAGGCATAATGGCAATACTGATTGTCCTTCACAAGACGCGTACTTCCACGAGGGGGCCATGCTATCCCTGCTCTATACCTCCATGACTGAATAAGTCTACGGATTCTGTCGTGTGGAATTCTTTTCCATTATTCCTACAACGTATTGGCAAGTTGTGCAAATGTAAGCTTTGAGTACACGTCCATCGAGTTCATCCCACAGATGCTTCATCAGGTTCAGATCTGGAAGGCCATGGCAAGACATTGACGTTTGAATTATGAAGAATGTCATCAGTGACACGAGCTGTGGTGTGGTGTAGTGTTGTCATGTTTAAACAACTCTCTCTGTCGGTTGATAATTGTAAGAAGGTGATTTTGAAGAATTTGGTCGATGTACCGATTTGCTATCAGATTTCCCTGAAACACCACCTCGACAGAGCTCCGTGCTGCCCACACCATCACACTTCCGCCACCGAATCTGTCGACCTGCCGAACGCAGTTCGATGGAAACGTGGGGGCACGGGTGGCCCAGTCGTCTAAAGCGCCGCGATTCGCTGTGCAGAGTTGCGTCCCTTGGGGACGCCAGAAACCTATGATTGTGGGTTCGAATCCTGGTTCGCCCCAATTATGTTTCTAGGTTTGTCAGCACCATACCCGTGCTCGTGGGTTTCACCGAAGTGGTAAACGTCTTAGACCTGCATCAGTTCGGGCTTTCCTCCCACATTAAGCTGACACGCCGTGATATGACTGGAATACCGTTAAAAGCGGCGTTAAACCCAACTCACTCACTCCCTCCCCACTCGATGGAAACGTTCATCCTTCCATCTCATCAAATCTTCCATCTCGGCGTTAGGGAAGACATCACGATTCATCACTGAACCAGACTCCCTGCCAGTGTCATGCATGTACGGTGTTGTTCCACCGTATACGCTATCGTCGATGCAATCATCACACTACAGGGACACATACGGGTAATCTGGGTCCGATGCCCGACTGTTGTAGACGTTTCCTGATTGTTTGGTCCGATACCCTCCTCAAACCAGGCACATGTGCTGCAGTCTCGGTGGCAGTAGCATGTCGATGACGCAGGTGAAAGACCCGAATGTAGCGATCTTGGGCAGGTGTTGTGACTCTTGGTCTACCACTTCTCGGACGATCTTTGGTTGAATAGAGGCTGGTATACCGACCCCATATGTGCTCTTGTGTGGGTTGAAATGACGTGCACTGCAGACTGGGACTCTCCAGCTTCAAGACGTCCTGTGGCGATGTTGCTATTGGCAGCATTCAGTCTCGGCATTTTCTCACGTCAAATTAGTCGACAGACGTAAGACAAAATATCAACTTACGTTTGACCTCCAATAGTCATTGTCACTGCACATGATTGTCACAACTTGCACGTACATTCTGCTTTTAATGTCCTTACCATGACATTTCCGTGAAGTCTTATAAAAACTGCTGCATATAGCTAAAAAAGAATAAAACGGTTTTGTGTGTCCACTACACCATTTAACGAACATGTGACTAACATCGTTCAGTCAAAAATATTGCATTTCTATTGAAGGTGCCATGAATAAATACAATCAACAATTCTCTTTATCTTCAATACGTTTTCTACGTTGAAGAGTGTAATCTAGGACGCCAGGTATTTGTATTGATGTCAACAGACAAGCCTTTGTAATGGTCATTATATGTAATAAATAGAGGATATATGACGTACTTTATCGAGACATAAAGCTTCAGTTGCGAGAAAAAAGGGCCTATTGTTCCCCAAACTTGTGTCATGCCGATAGATTACTGCCGTGTCTCCTGTATCTGTCTACTTAAGTTTTACGGATAACATTTCCGGACATATCGGGAACACTTTCATTTTCTATTCAAGGAACCATCAACTCACGACCCAATTGTTTGTGTTACTCGTGATGTACTGTAGCTTGAGCATCATTATATTTACAAGTTTTATTGATGAGGACAGTATCGAGATATGTACTACATTGACCCAAATGACGAACACTCATTAGATTCGAGCCTTTCGCTGTGCACTAAATAACCATAGCATCTGCTTACCAATGTCCGGTAGACCCGTGCCTGTAAAATAACAAATTTGATTTATTTAATTTAACCTTTAAATTACATATTGCAAACTGAAATGCATTATACCATATTTACAAGAGATACGCAATATTGAATTACTTACATTTGATATCGATTACCATAAATGTGTCATAAGTATTTGCTACGGATAGTTATAATGACACATAAAGACATCAAGGCATCGTACAGACTCAGTGAGAGATCCTGGCAAACATAGCAGAAAACTACATTCCACCTCTTTTCTGATGTACTGGAGTGCCAAAATTCATTTTTATTAAACATATTGTTCTAATAACATTATTGTTATAAAAGGATCATATGCTTTTTGTTGTCACTTTTGTTGTCAACAAATAATATTTCTTGCTTACTTATCACTTGACGTTAGAACCACCCGATTGTTTCTTTGCATGACAAATTAACTATTGTAATAGAGTTGAGTGGTCCTTAGCTTCTTTGGGGTAATATATGTACGTTTTTTCGCCAAATAGCCAAAATATTGGTGAAAATTATAAAATTATATGAATAGATTACTGAAAATCAGTGATGGCACCAGGTGTCCACGAAAAGGGTAAACATCTACTGCTCTAGCTGCGCCACCCACACAGTTTGAATAAAAACTATGTTTGTGTTTTGCCTGTCGCCGTACAGCAGTAGTCCTGTCATCTAATTTGGATCTGACATACGAATGACCTCTTACTTTAAGCGGACGCTATACTGCGTCGAATATATATGTAACGCAGCAAATATACTTATTGTTCAAAGACGTTGTCGAAACCTCACCTTGACCGTTCTGCGTACTATATGCAGGCTCATTGAAAGCTGAGTGTCCATATTCATTTTGCAGACTAGGTATTTGATGCTCTGAGAGGGGAAGAGACATTCTGGAAGGTCCTTGTTGTGTCGAAGCGCTAGTCATCTCTTGTGTGTTCATTCCACCAAATCCGTTTATATTCTGACTGTTCATCCCCCCTGTGACACCTGGAGCGTTAAACAATTGGGTACTTTGTATAGAGTTAGATGTCATACCCTGGTTGTTTAATGCTTGAATGTCGTTTGAATTTGCCAACGAGTGATCTTGGAAAGAGTTAGTACCTTGTTGCATTGGTGAGCTGAACACTCGGTGATGCTGAGCAGTGTTGGATCCACTCATACCCATATCGTTAAACATCTGATGACCTTCAATGTTGTTTACTGCAGCCATAGCCTGGTTTCTGTTATGATAAAGGCTCCCATCTACCGATATAGGTGAAGCCAAAACTTGCTGATCTAGCGGAACAGTTGACCCTGTAATGCCCTGGGTGTTTAGCATTTGTAGATCCTGAGCAATACTGGACCCGCCCATGACCTGGTTGTTGAGCATTTGTGGATTTTGGATATTGCCTGATATGGTTATTCCCTGATTGGAACCTTGGAAACTGTCTGCACCCTGCGGCAAGTGCAGATCTTGTACTCTACTGGAACTGCTCATTCCTTGGCTGTTGTACATTTGTTTGTCTTGAAGGTTGTTCACTGCAGCTTGGTTGGTAATTTGAAATGTGTTCGCGCCTTGTTGCATAGGTGAGCCTAACATCTGCTGGTCTAGCGCAACACCGGATCCTGTGGCAGCCTGGTTGTTGAGCATTTGCAGATCTTGAGCAGTATTAGACACGCCCATACCCTGGTTGTTGAGCATTTGTAGATCTTTAATAGTATTAGACAGGTCAATGGCCTGGTTGTTCAGCATTTGTAGATCTTGAGCAGGATTAGATACGCCCATACCCTGGTTGTTGAGCATTTGTAGATCTTGAACAGTATTAGACATGCCCATACCCTGGTTGTTGAGCATTTGTAGATCTTGAGCAGTATGAGACATGCCCATACCCTGGTTGTTGAGCATTTGTAGATCTTGAGTAGTACTAGACACGCCAGTACCTTGGTTGTTGAGCATTTGTAGATCTTGAGCAGTATTAGACACGCCCATACCCTGGTTGTTGAGCATTTGTAGATCTTGTGCTGTATTTGACAGGCCCATACCTTGGTTGTTGAGCATTTGTAGATCTTGAGCAGTATTAGATACGCCCATACCCTGGCTGTTGAGCATTTGTAGGTCTTGAGCATTATTAGACATGCCCATACCCTGGTTGTTGAGCATTTGTAGATCTTGAGCTGTATTAGACATGCCCATACCTTGGTTGTTGAGCATTTGTAGATCTTGAGCAGTATTAGACACGCCCATACCCTGGTTGTTGAGCATTTGTAGATCTTGAGCTGTATTAGACATGCCCATACCCTGGTTGTTGAGCATTTGTAGATCTTGAGCAGTATTAGACACGCCCATACCCTGGTTGTTGAGCATTTGTAGATCTTGTGCTGTATTTGACACGCCCATACCTTGGTTGTTGAGCATTTGTAGATCTTGAGCAGTATGAGATACGCCCATACCCTGGCTGTTGAGCATTTGTAGGTCTTGAGCATTATTAGACATGCCCATACCCTGGTTGTTGAGCATTTGTAGATCTTGAGCTGTATTAGACATGCCCATACCTTGGTTGTTGAGCATTTGTAGATCTTGAGCAGTATTAGACACGCCCATACCCTGATTGTTGGGCATTTGTTGCATAGGTGAGCCTAACATCTGCTGCTCTAGCGCAACATTTGATCCTGTGACAGCCTGGTTGTTGAGCATTTGTAGATCCTGAGCAGTATTAGACATGCCCATACCCTGATTGTTGAACATTTGTAGATCTTGAGCAGTATTTGACACGCCCATACCCTGGTTGTTGAGCATTTGTAGCTCTTGAGCAGTATATGACGCTCCCATGCCCTGATTGTTGGGCATTTGTAGATCTTGAGCATGATTAGACACGCCCATACCTTGGTTGTTGAGCATTTGTAGATCTTGAGCAGGATTAGACACGCCCATACCCTGGTTGTTGAGCATTTGTAGATCTTGAGCAGTATATGACCCGCCCATACCCTGGTTGTTGAGCATTTGTAAATCTTGAGCTGTATTTGACACGCCCATACCCTGATTGTTGAGCATTTGTAGATCTTGAGCAGTATTAGACACGCCCATCCCCTGGTTGTTGAGCATTTGTAAATCTTGAGCTGTATTTGACACGCCCATACCCTGATTGTTGAGCATTTGTAGATCTTGAGCAGTATTAGACACGCCCATCCCCTGGTTGTTGAGCATTTGTAAATCTTGAGCTGTATTTGACACGCCCATACCCTGATTGTTGAGCATTTGAAGATCTTGAGCAGTACTAGCCACGCCCATACCTTGGTTGTTGAGCATTTGTAGATCTTGAGCAGTATTAGACACGCCCATACCCTGATTGTTGGGCATTTGTTGCATAGGTGAGCCTAACATCTGCTGCTCTAGCGCAACATTTGATCCTGTGACAGCCTGGTTGTTGAGCATTTGTAGATCCTGAGCAGTATTAGACACGCCCATACCCTGATTGTTGAACATTTGTAGATCTTGAGCAGTATTTGACACGCCCATACCCTGGTTGTTGAGCATTTGTAGATCTTGAGCAGTATATGACACGCCCATACCCTGGTTGTTGAGCATTTGTAGATCCTGAGCAGTATTAGACACGCCCATACCCTGGTTGTCGAGCATTTGTAGATCCTGAGCAGTATTTGACACGCCCATACCCTGGTTGTTGAGCATTTGAAGATCTTGAGCAGTATTAGACGCGCCCATACCCTGGTTGTTGAGCATTTGTAGATCCTGAGCAGTATTGGATACACTCACACCCTGTGTATTCATCGCCTGGATACTGCTGGTAGCTGTCGGCATTGGTGCATCAATCCTTTGTGGATTTTGAACGTTGAGCATCTGTTGATCCTGGAATGAGCTCGGTGATGCTATATCTTGTGTGGAGTACATTTTGGGATCCTTAATGGTGATTGTCCCTGTCCTGTCAATTGTGTCGTACATTTGTGAGTTTTGATTAGATGTTGATCCGGTAAGTGTCTGAATATTTCCTTGGTTCAAGGGCCCTGTTTCGACGGGATACATTGGTGGGTCTTTGACATTATTGGTTCCAACCAGGTCTAAGTTATTTACCATTTGCGTGTTTTGGATAGATGTGGATGCAGACATACTCTGCGTGTTGCCTCGATTATTGGAACCGATTTGTTGAGGGTACATTTGTGGTTCTTGGATGCTATTTAATCCTGTGAGATCTAAGTTATTTGCCGTTTGGCTAGAAATGGATCCGGAGAGAATCTCTGTGTTTCCTTGATTGGCTGGTCCCGTTTGGACAGAATACATTTGTGTGTCCCGTCCTACACTGCCTGAACCCGTCAAACCCTGTCCCTGGAATACGTCTGGTCCTTGTGCTGATGATATATATTGATCCTGCATTGTCGCAGGCCCTTGCTGACCACGGATAGCGTCTTGCAGGATTGTGTTTATTTGCATTCCGCGTGACCCTGTACCTGTGCCAAGAGGGGCGTCTTGCATTCCAGCTACACCTGCTTCATTCACGACAGAACTACTGCCTGCGTTCATTCCTGTTGGACTGTTGATGGAATTTGGATATGACGCCGCTGAACCTCTTGGTGCATCAAACATTTCATTTAAAACACTGTTTATAAAGTTGTTCCCAATTGAGTGGATTCCATATGAAGGTGAAGAGTCTCCAGTCATAGATCCTGTTTTGAAGCCGTCATTAAAGAACTGAGGATTTGAAACTGTTATTCCACCCGTTCCTAGTTGTCCAACACCGACTGCTCCTCCAGTGGTTCCAGTATTGGGGAATCCCAATGTTATTCCACCTTCCCCCATGGTTCCTATTCCAACCGATGATGCCCCACTGCCGCTTATGGCGAGCCCAGTACCTGAACTAGCTTGTCCTGGTTGTCCCGCCTTTCCAAGATCATAGGCACCAGCACGAGTTTGTGTAAGATCCCCAGCGCCACCTTGTGCTACTGCGGCTGCTACAATGTTTTCTATCCTTGTAGCTCCACCTCCCCTTGCACCAGTCTGCCCTAGGCCTGCAGCGGCAACTGTGTCTGTAACGTACTGATCGATTCCCGCAGAACCAACTGCGTTTGCACCAAGCTGATCTATACCCGTAGAGCTACCTGTGTTCGCAGCATATTGATCGATGCCTGCAACGCCGCCAGCAGATCCTAAACCACCAAAATCAAGGGTCAGTGTAGCTGGTCCGGGACTTCCTCCAACTGTGGATCCACCAGTGGTAGTGTCGAGTGTACCCACGTTTCCGGTTCCAACCAGGTTATTTGGATTATGCATTCCTGCTGTTCCAACGCTAGGGTTTACATCAAAAGCTCTGCTATTTCCATTGTAGCCAAGATCCGCGCCCAATCCTACTGAAGATCCCGCAGTTCCCAAGCCCATGGCTGGTTCAACTATTCCAACGTTATCCACAATAGTTGGCCAGTTTGTTTGTGCTGCCTTTCTAAGAGAATTAGCACCAATCGCGCTAGCTGCAGCAGGATAGACTCCAGCGACAGCTGGATCGGTTGCAGAGAATCCAGACAAAGGAATATATTGACTTCCGGGGGCGACTCCTGTAGGATAAGTGGTGCCCGCCCCAACTCCCGCAGGATAAGTGCCGGCCGCACCAACTCCCGTTGCAACTCCCGTAGGATAAGTGCCGGCCGCACCAACTCCCGTTGCAACTCCCGCAGGATAAGTGCCGGCCGCACCAACTCCCGTTGCAACTCCCGTAGGATAAGTGCCGGCCGCACCAACTCCCGTTGCAACTCCCGTAGGATAAGTGCCGGCCGCACCAACTCCCGTAGCAACTCCCGTAGGATAAGTGCCGGCCGCACCAACTCCCGTAGCAACTCCCGTAGGATAAATGCCGGCCGCACCAACTCCCGTAGCAACTCCCGTAGGATAAGTGCCGGCCGCACCAACTCCCGTAGCAACTCCCGTAGGATAAGTGCCGGCCGCACCAACTCCCGTAGCAACTCCCATAGGATAAGTGCCGGCCGCACCAAGTCTCGTAGCAACTCCCGTAGGATAAGTGCCGGCCGCACCAAGTCCCGTAGCAACTCCCGTAGGATAAGTTCCTGCCGCACCAACTATGGCAGCATCCAGTCGAGTAACTATGGCAGGCAGGGTTCCTCTAGGATAAGCTCCAGACACGAAGGCTCCTTTCGCGACAGTGCCAACGGGAAAAACGCCAGTGGGAACCACTCGAAGTGTGCCAGCTCCAATTCCTGGAAGCATGCTTGCCGCAGATGCGCTCACAACAGGTCGAGGTGGAGGTCTTGGCAAAAAAGCAATTCCTCCTCTTAGAGAAGGTCTAGGTCCGGACAATGGTGGTGGTGCTTGTGAACCGTAAGTGACTGGAAAATAGGAACCTTGCATTCAGCTCCATGGTAAAACATAATGTCATGCATTTTTCTACTATATTTACCATCCTTTATACAGAGGAGGCTTTGAAACAATAAGTGTTTCGCAATCAGCAACATCCTAGCTATATGACAGCGGCCTGTAAATAATTGATATGATGCGAATCTATTCCGATCTTCGAAACAAGATAAGACCGTTAACAAGATCCCAGCCTCACCATCAAATCCATTCTGTAGCCTCTCACTCTTACAATCAACATAGGTTACTTTAGACCACACCGGACCCGGAATCCTTAAGGATTCCCAATCAATTCTTACGACAAGCAACGGCGTGCTAGGAATATATTCTACCCCTCTTCACCTCGGGGAATAATATATATAATGTATTGATGTCCAGGCCGTAATTTCACAATGGTCAGCATTATCATGCTGATCCATATTGATGAGATAAAAAGACTTCCCCAAAGCACATTTCCTATGTTCCTTTACGTATTCGTATAGACATCACACCATTGTTTATAACAGGAGCAAGCGCCCTCCCCGTGCCAATAGTCGTGGCGAATAGATCTGATGTCAGTGTAACGAAACAATAAAATGAATAAGAAAAAGAATATGTCGACTTCTTTATTATGAGGAACACAACGTTTCGGAGTATATGCTTACTCCTCCATCATTCACTTGATAAAGGATTAAGCATATACTCCGAAACGTTGTGTTCCCCATAATAAAGAAGTTGACATCCATATATTCTCTTTCTTATGTGAATCACTTCTAAATGCCTTTCAAAGACCTAATAAAATGAATATTTACAAAACCACCCTTCTTTCTTCACTTCCTCTGTGTTTCATATAATCCTGGAATATTTCATGTCATTTTCTAGTTTTTTCGTCATAATAATGTTACAGCCCACACATATTATTACAACATATGGAATTACTACACCGAAACGTTACACGAAATAACATAACATATAATGACGTGGTGTCCAACAACATACACATTTGGGGATTCCGGATTAGACTTGGTCCCCAACAACCTATGGAAGTCGTAACAGGCGACGCAATTGATTGGATTGTTAGGTCCGGTGACGTGCCTGATTGTGCGTCATCGTACACCGACGGCGTAGGAATGGGTCTTAATATCAATCACTGGCTTGTCTGATCCAGACTCGATTATTTACAGGCCACAATCATCCAGCTTGAAGATTATTATTATACAAAAATTATAGTTATTCCAACCCTGACGTTCCTGCAGTAAACTATGTACTATTCGTGTACGCCACAGATGGTTACTGACACACGAAAAAATGCTTGCCAAGGTGACACGCAGGAAGTTCTTGCTTCTCTACCGACAGAAGGAGACACAGTTGCAGCCTGGGCCCACTTGCACAGAACAATCTTAGTTACAATCGATCTTAGGCGGCTACAATCAACTTTACAATCACCATGCAATTGCCCTATTCCACTTGCACAAACCGATCTTAGGGCGATTGTAAGACGGCTTGGAGTTAAGATCGCGATCTTAGCTAAGATTGAAATCTTCAACGGTGGAGGTACGAATATTTTCAACTCGACTCCTGTCTACAGTTGTCTGCAAACGCGCAAACGTTGCTACAACAAAGGATGTTATGACTTTCCAAACACAGAAAGACTGGAACTTCCAAAAACGCATAGACGGGAAATAAGAATAATGAATAATGTTTCGAGAAAGCAATTGTTTATATATATATATTCACTTGGTATTAATTTTCTTTTTTTAAAAAGTGTGTATTTTATTTTTGCTATTTATGGGATATTTTGCAAAAAATGCAAATGTTCGCATCATGTATATTTGCTTGTTTGATGAATTCTTGTATTTTGTTCTTTTAAATTCTGATATTTAACCGCTCGTCCCCGTCCCATTTGATTTTAGATTTAAACATGTATGATTTGCTCTTCAGCTTGTATTTATTTGTAGATTAATTTAATGATAAACTAAAGACAAAATAACTGACACGAATCTGACCCAAAAGAAATACAGGGGGAGCTCAGCGATTCAACAACATGGATACACTGGGTAAGGTAGATTGTACTCTACGGGCTTATACAAAGGGAAACCACTCCCATCTAGAGTATAAACTAAGATTAGCTGCCCTTGTCGAAAAGGTCACGGACGTTACAAATCGCTTGCGGGCGACTTAGTGTTTTATCCTTCCCTCGTTTAGCAAAAAGATATGTTGTTTCACATTTCTTTCCGTATTGAGTCGGATGGGAATATTCCTTTTAGCTATCGACTCGACAGTTTAACTATGGTAATTAACGATATTTCTGACGTTAAATCTCTGGTGCGTTCTTCATGTTGTTAAAGTGTCGATTCGAATTATAAAGTTTAACAAAATAAAGAGGCAATGTTTGAACGTAAAGCAGATTATTTATGTGAAACAGACCAAGCCTTGCACGCCATTTTGTCAAGTTTATTCAGGGACTACAACGATCTTAGCTATTTAAGATTGGTCCGGACCAATTGTAAGTTTCGATTGTAGCTTACAATGATGTTAGTCTACAATAGGATAGCGTTTGTAGCCGAAGCCTAAGATCGCGATCTTAAGGATTTACAATAATTGTAACGCTAAGGTTGCTTTGTTCAAGTGGGCCCTGGTTAGCCTTGGGATGACGTATCCTGGCATCTGCATCACTAGTTGCAGCCACTCTAGGTCATAACTGTGGCTCTTCATTGATGCAATAGTATCACATTGTACTTGCTCATGTGTGTCAGTAGTAATCACCTGTTACACAGAAATAATATAAAAGTTGATAGCAGGACAGTATATGTTGACAAATGTTTGACACCTGAGTGCAGTTCGAATGTCCTTTATCGATACCTGATTTATTTCCTTAATGAAGAACCATTGAAGCCGCCCATTGAAGCAGTAACTAGTAATATAGATGCCAGATGGCATCTCCCAAAGGCCAACGAGGCTGCAACTGTGTCATACTGTTGACACGGATGCAGCAACTGGGTATTATATCCGTGGGCACGCAATGACTCAAGGGGATGTGGAGGGCACCTGTTAGTGGACGAGTACCAATCTGTTGAAGTCGCTGGAACCCGGGTTGAAATTTCGGTCCATATAACATCCCCGTAGATGTCCGCACAACCGAAAGAAAGACAAGCCACACACATGCTAAATGACCTGCCATGACACCTGCATGACAAAACAAGGAAAGAAGAAACATTATTGCAGCTGTATTGTCATATTGTTCTTGAAACAGATTCCACGCAATGGCGATTGTATAATTGCTCCTTGTTTGAGATGTTTAAATACAATCTTCTTGTGGATTCAGTTTCCGTTCGTTGAGGATTTGTATATTCCAGAAACCACTGCGAATAACTATCGCATCGCAAATGTTGTGCATTTATCATCCACAATTTCGGAAACATCCATCAGTAAACATTCGTTAAACTTTGATTTATACACCCCTGTCATTAAGTTGTATGATTCCTGTTACTCTGCTGGAACCAGAAATACTTCCTTCACTTTTTCCTATTGCACAACGGACCATCTCAAAATACATTAGATAGTCATCTTTGATGGCAACCCAACTTCACTTTCGTTCTGTTGCCATGTAGAAGTAGACGCAAACATTTGAAAACAATATATTTTGCTAAATACATGTCAGCAGAAACATACTGAACAAAACAGTTAGGGATCATGAATAATTTGGGGGATTTGTTTTCATTTTGGCTATGTCTCACTACAAAATTATTCCTAACTTGTGTTGTTCAGTAAAGGATTACTTCCTTTTCATAAGTTTCACATCCAACAGCATTGAATTCCATGATAAAAGTATTTATTTTATGTACGACACAGATGATTGATGTCAACATAAAACAAATCATATAACGACTGTTAGTTAAGACGCATATAATCGTAAGTCAAAGACGTAATTAAAAATATCGCTGCACAGTAATAACAGTTATGCTTCATATTTATAACATTACACAGACATATGATCTACCTGAATGATCTTGACGACCTCTGAACGATAACTCCACTCACAGTCCTGGCCGTGGAAGCTAAACACACTGCATATGTTGCTTTCTTGGCAATTTGTTCAATTCGTCCATCACAAAAATGACTAGCCAACCAGGGTTCAGTATGCGCTTTTACAGAGAACGTCACAGTTTTACTGGTACGTGTGCGTGCTATTTCCTCAGGCAATACAGATCACCATAAAAAATATATAGCTTCGTGACCAAAGTCAGTGAACGCATAACTGCGCTGTGCTTGTTGTATCATTGATCGGGTGCCCCTGGTGATCAATCAACAATATGATGATAATATTTTACGATATAAGCCCTAAAAGGATTATCATCATGGCCAGACACGTTGTTTTAATTCGCCTGTAATGCCTCACCGCAGATAACGGAATGACAGTTATTAGTTTATTTAATTTAAACTATTATGCTTTGATCAGATGAATGAAGACACAAGTAATATTTCAGGGATCTAATATACATGCATGGCCTTAGGCTTCGGACATGTAGCCTCCGAGAGGTGACAAATCGGCCTGCTGATCCTTGGCCTTTAACCTATTTTCAGTACACATAGGATGATCCATACAGATCAGAAAAAGTAAAATCATGGAGTATTTATCCATGCACACCACGGAGAGGTTTCAAATAGATGTGCTGAGTTACATTTGCTTTGCTGATTTATTTCCTTGTGTCAAAGAATGGTGCTCTGATCGCACCTCTTTACTCTGTCACACGGGCACTCCTTCAACTGTGATCGGCTCCAAAAAGGCACACATCAAGGATCACTACAATGGTCTCGGTGTATAGCTAAAAATAAAAGAGACAAAACCATTTTCCGTAATTACAATAAAATCGCCATACCCTTTACCTATTCATAAGAAATCTTTGCCAAAAGCAGAGTCGATTGTACGATTCTGAACATATCATGAGCATGTGTTAATGAATTGTGGCAGCAATACTGAACATGATTCTATATGTGGTGTGCAACATGCGCCATGTTGTGTTATGTGGTATGCAACACGCACCATGTTGTCTTCTGTGACATCGCTGGACATGTTCTGTTATTTGGTTATACTCATGTTCTGCTTTGTTTTTTTTGTTTTATTTGTGTGTGTTTCTTTGTTGTATATTTCATGCCGCTCTTAGCAAAATTCCAGCTATATGACGGCGGTCTGGAAATAACCCATTCGTGATCAGACAATCCAGTGACTGACGTCATGAACATCGATCTACGAATTTGGGATTCGACGACATGCATCAATTAAGTCAGTGAGACTGACCACCAGATCCGCTAGCCGCCTCTTACAACAATCATACGTTGCCTTAGACCAATTCTAAACCGGATCGTCACGGGACCTACTTTGTGACGTACGGCAATCGCCATGACGTGAGACATTATTTATGATAAATAATATAACTGCAGGAACCAGAGTTCAGTCATATTGCATAGCTAAAAAATGACAAATTAACATGCACTAATATTTTCAACTGATGGTAGGTGTGCCGAAAGTTTGCCCATCAATCATATTTGGAGAGATGTATTAATGTCTGCGTCTCACATACCTCAATTGCCATGATAGAACAATCTGTGGACATTATTGATTGAGACTTCCAATTCTACCTACATTGAATTTATTGATGTCCATTGATAATATTGCTCTGGTAACAAATATGCCAATGCATGGTTTTATGAGGCTGTGTCTCATAATGACATTTATAAGACAGCTACGCTATAAATCGCAAAAAGCAATGAAGAACGAAGCGTGGTTTATTTCACGATGAAACATTCTTCTATCATGGCCTCATTTCTGGAGATTCGAATATGCGCTCGCAGCTTGATGACGTCACATATTGGATGACGTTATATTTTGAGTGTCTAGTGAGTTCTTCCATATGTTTATAGCTGGGGTAAGCAGATAAACTCAGTGGCCGAAGATCGCATCCAAACGTGGGAGAGGTATGATATTGTGTGTGTGTCGAGTGAACTGGTTCCAATTCAATCGCTACTACCAAGCGTGAACAGAGCATGTACATGTATGACTTGACAAAAACGTGCTCTATAATTAACATCAGTGTAAAAGCGTTGTTCATACTTTTGAATTCGTAGTCCAGGTGCAATTTCGCAAGCATATTACTTTGTTCAATAGAGCAATTATCCCAAATATGAGCACAATTTTCAAAGTTGGAAGATTAAATTAATGAATTATTTGACCAACATTTTTTTATCAAATCTATGGGAGTGTGCCATAATTCATCTTCTTGTAAAGTCAATCCTAAATGTTTATGGGAAGAGTTTTCAGATATATAGAAGTGTCTTTTAATTTCAACAATGATTGGATTTACGTGAGAACTGAATAGTTTCAGTTTTTTTAGGATTAAATTTTACCCGCCATGAATCAGAAAAATAGACATTCTTTTTACGTCAGTGGTGAGACAATCTGCTGTTTTTTATTATTTGTAATTACAAAAAGTGAAGTATCGTCTGCAAAAAGAGGGATTTTACTTTTAGTGCCTTGAACAATGTGGTTGATATATCAATGAACAGTAGCGTCCCCTGGGGCACACGGCTTTAACTGTTTTTGTATCAGATTTGGACGACATGTTGCATTACATTTAGAAACTATGAGTTTAACCATTTGAGAATGTTACCAGTTACTCCATATTTTTGTAGTTTATGGAGGATATTTCATGTGTCGAGTGAAATATCATGTTTCTCTCATCGAGTGACGTAGCCACGATTGAAAATATCTCCTTTTCCCCCATATCCTATTTGTTATATACTTTTTGTGTTATTTTCTCCCGAAAACAATATTTTTTTCATGACTGAAATGAATATATATATATATATATACCTTGAAACGTAAATTCTCCCTACCTAACACAAAAGGGCAGTTCACCACCTCTCTCTCTCTCTCTCTCTCTCTCTGGGGCGGTCGGATAGCCTTGTGGTTAAAGCGTTCGCTCGTCACGCCGAAGACCCGGGTTCGATTCCCGACATGGGTACAATGTGTGAAGCCCATTTCTGGTGTCCCCCGCCGTGATATTGCTGGAATATTGCTAAAAGCGGCGTAAAACCAAACTCACTCACACACTCTCTCTCTCTCTCTACCTCTCTCTCTCTCTCTCTCTACCTCTCTCTCTCTCTCTCTACCTCTCTCTCTCTACCCCTCTCTCTCTCTCTCTACCTCTCTCTCGCTACCTCTCTCTCTCTACCTCTCTCTCTCTCTCTGCCCCTAACAAGCATTGCGGTCGACGGTACACTGGTACACGTAGTACGAATGTATATTGAATTGTTGGAACATTCTCTTTTGATCTCAGTTGTTTGTTTGTTGTTTTAAGCCGCTCCCAGCAACCTTGTGACAACATCCTGTAAATAATGGCATCTCGACCAAACAGACCAGTGATTGATATGGTGACGACTGCTTCACGCCGTCGGGTAGCTTTGCGACGCAATCGACCACGTCAACGAGCCTGACCAACTGATACACGAAGGAGCCTCCGACAAGTACACTGATGACCAATTCTAAACTCGAATCCACATGGACACTTTGACACCTGTTTATTCTATCAGCTGTCCCCTCGCCCCCTGCAACAGCTCAATCTTCAAGTTCGGCTGAATGCCTCAACGCGTGACAACGAGACGTCTGTCTTTCCTTTCATGATGGACGCCTTCACCCCGTGCCGGATATAGATTACAAACCCGTTTGATGATCGCTCATGTTTGGATCATCAAAGTCATAGAAAACCAGTTTACTATACTTAACTACAGAGAGACTGTATGGTCCGTTTGTAGTCTCGGCAGGTTTAAATCCGACTCTGACAATTCTCGTTAGTATTTGCACTTGTATTGTTCCGATAAATAGAGGCACAGATAAATATCACAATATTCCCTCGGATCATGGAACTTGGATTCTTTATTTGTCTGGAGGTAGAAAGCGAGGGGAAGAGAGGGAAGGGGGAGGAAGGGTGCGGGAGGATGTGTATCAACAGAGGCAGTGATGGTATACATGAACATCCTCGTGTCAAGAACCTGCTTCAAGCGTGTCAACAGACAGGGTATAACATTGAGAAACGTCACAAGATATCATTTGCAATGTTTGAACCTGCACTCGCAAAGAGTACCACGTATATGTGTCACGTACTTGCTTCATGTGTCTCAATAGAGACAAACATGTACATGCATGTGTTTCAATAGCTTTCTTCGTGTATCGTCAGGGGTTTTATACAATAACATATTAACATGTTCGTCACTTTGGAAGTTTCTATCATTTTGCCAACAAGCCTGATAACATTGTAATCATCCTCCCAGCTTTACCTGCATGTGGCATTAGAGAGGACGGAGGCCAGTGTAAGAACGGCGAACATCTTATAATTATATGTCCCTTTGTATGTCGCTTGGGCTAAATGAATTGTGCGCATTTGGGGGAAAATTACTTCGATTTAATAAAACCAAACGTACGACTGAAACATTCCAGAAATGCTCTCTCTTCTTCTTTCGGGAATGGTGAAATGGCAACACAGGAACTATGGAATTACACGGTGTCATACATTTATTAAAGCTTTTAGATACACGGTTTCTGATCACACACTCACAAACACGAAACACAAATCTCATAAAATACCATTAATGAATTAGGAATGTACAATCGTATCATAAAACAACATTCTTCCAATTCATGTCTATAAATTGTAAAAGGAGCGACTACAGTTTGTAGAGAGTGACAATTACCTCTTGCTCAATACAAAAATAAATTACAATAGATATTGCAACGTCTGTGGTGTTTAGATATGGATGAAATAACTTAATTAATATTATGCATGAAATGAATGGTGTTGACTAAATTATGATTTATACAGAATATTTCATGAAACCAACCGGCTATGTGCTATTTAAAATTCACGGGAAAATTCGTATTTACTTAAATGTTTACGCTTGAATCAACAAATAAAAACGTTTTTCACATATATTAACGATATTGTTGATCGTGGAGGGTTCATTACTTTACCGATTCTCCTATACAGCATTTCTGATCTGACCACAAAGAACAATATGCTGATATTTAAAGCGCCACATCACTATGTAGATACGACAAAACGATTTGTGTAACTTTCAACCTCATTGCGCCCATCTTTCCCATTCTCTATTTCTTTGTAAGTTTTATCATATGTCTATGGAAGGGAGTTTTCTAATTTCTAGGAACTTGTCCCCAATCCATGTCACTTAAGTGAATAAAATGTTAAAAATAAATTACTGTATGGCCATAAGACGAAACGATTAACCCTTCAACCTCCTCCCTTAAACCGATCACAAATACCAATGGACACATAACATTAACCCTTATAGCACAGACTATGTTCACATTGACAGGGTGTTGAAGTCAATATAGTTCCCTTGTTATGAAGTATCTTCAGAGGAGATCAATATTCATATTCTGAAACAAATAGACAACATATTGTTATTGCTGTACTAATCATTTTGTATCAGGTGTTGCCTTACCTGAAATAGTAGACATCGTGGATGCGATGTTCACAGTTGTAGTGTTAGTGTTTATGATGTTTAGTAGTTATGGTCACGTTGGAATTAATAACAGTAGTACTAGATGCAGTACAGTTGTAATTGCTGAAGTACTAGTGATAGTTCTTGAAGAAACACTAGCAGTAACTGAAGAAGCAGTAGTAATTGTAGTTGATGAAGTAGTAAAAAATGGTAGTTAATGAAGAAGCAATAATAGTAGTAAATGAAGTACCAATAATAGCAGTTGATGAAGTAATAATAATAGTAGTTGTTGAAGTAGTAATAATAGTAGATGATGAAGTAGCAATAGTAGTTCATGAAGTAGTAATAATAGTAGATGATGAAGTAGCAATAGTAGTTCATGAAGTATTTATAATAGTTGTTGATGAAGTAGCAATAGTAGTTGTTGAAGTAGTAATAATATTAGATGATGAAGTAGCAATAGTAGTTCATGAAGTAGTAATAATAGTTGTTGATGAAGTAGCAATAGTAGTTGTTGAAGTAGTAATAATATTAGATGATGAAGTAGCAATAGTAGTTCATGAAGCAGTAATAATGGTAGATGATGAAGTAGCAATAGTAGTTCATGAAGTAGTAATAATAGTATATGATGAAGTAGCAATAATAGTTGTTGATGAGGTAGTTATAATAGTAGTTGATGAAGCAGTAATACTAGTTGTTGATGAAGTGGTAATAATAGTAGTTGATGAAGTAGTAATAGCAGTAGTTGATGAAGTAGTAGTTATTGGGGTAGTTTTTTAACGTGGAGTACAGTTAGATCCTAATTGAGTCATCATATATTTGTATATGTAATATGGAGTTATCTCCCCTAGTCTGTTAAGTGCGTTGTTTCCATTAATTGTAACGAATTCTTGATAGATGAGTCAATATTTTCCTAGTTTCGCAATATATAAAGATTATATCATTTAACAAATGGACTCTTGTTTATACACCACAATGGAAAAGATGATTGAAACAGCAGATTTGAACTCCAGGTTAAATCTACAGATAACCTGATCCTACTTTCAAACACGGTCGGCTTATCTCCTCACTGCATGCACCGTCAGTTTCATTCGATACCGAAGCTAACTAAGAATCCAAAAACAGAAAGTAATTTCTCAAAGTAAAGATCCCGACACCTACCATACTCCTCGGAGCCGCCAGCTGCAAAATAAACATCACGAAGGTTACAATCAGGAAATAGTAATTGACACTGACATATGGCTTTACATTTTTTCTAGATTGACCCATGTTCTTACAACACCTTACGCATTTGTACATATAATACACAAAACCGCAAAAGAAACGTCTCGAAATGGAAAGAATTCATGAAAGATTCCCGTTCAAATATCAATGTATTTTGAAGGTATCTCGTTTTTGACATTAGTCTATCCAAATGGGATCTTTACGGCCAAAACGTGACACAAACATTGAGACAATTGATATATATACTAGTATATATCAATGACTTTGGCTACCTACAGGTGATGTACATAGCTATAGTTCATGAACGCAGGGAAATGTATTATATTGTCAACCGTTTGATTGTCGGTGCCTCAAACACTCATACATATTTCAACAAAGGATAAGTTTCAATTCGGAAAGTGCAATGTAAGAAATAGTGTAGTCATATATATCTGTTGATCAATCTATGTTTTTGAATACTTTTCAATTACCTTTAATAAATTACTGAAACAGTAGACATATTCCATATACCATTAGGTTTATATCATTGTATGCATCGGATTCCAATTGAGTAGATCATGATGTCAATCACTGGATTGTCTGGGCCAGACTCGAGTATCTACTTGCCGCCGTCATATCGCTGGAATATTGCTGAATGCGGCGTTAACAAAACAACCAAACAAAACAGTTGTACAACTACACATGCATTTGAAACGTGTATGTTCCTTCACACGGGCATATCGCTCCACATGATCAATGGCAGGCTTCATGAGTATCAGTGAACTGAGGTGGTAGGCATTACTTGGATAATCATGACATAAACTTTACAACCAAATTTGGAATACTGTAATACAGTGTTAACACTTTGCACATGTTCATCTATAAATGATTGAAGATGAAGGGGAGTGTGGAGAAAGATTCAACGTAATTCTTCCCACTGGAACTAATGTTATGCATGACGAAATTATCAGCTGTATTAGAACATTTGTCCACGAAGAAGCTAAACATTACTTATTTTTATACTCGTTTTACACTATGTTAGAAACATTATTAACAGAAAAATTGCAAGTGTCACTTGTTAAACTGAACATGGGTCATGAGTTTAGGTTTTATAGAAAACATATGTTGATGCTTCGATATCTACTATTTGTAATAGCTAACAATGTGTTAGTAAATTCATATTTTAGTAGTATAATACATTTTTATTATTTTATGACACCCAAGACAATCGCATCACAGAAATGTTATTACTTGACAAACTACATACAAATAAAACTATTTACATACATGACAATCTACTTATTGCACACTAACCTTGATTATTAATAAGGCCAAGGTAATTTGAGAAAGTAATTTACATGTTTCCTGAAATAGGACGTACACAACAAAGGTTATCCGAACTTTTTACAATTTGAAAGGGCGGTATGAACTGAGTGTCTTTGACCTAAAAATATCAACACGGATCAAAACACTCTCGGTGATATTCTATTTATCATCCAAAATGATTCTGTCAACATTTTCAGATCGTAAACAATAATAACCATTTTTAGACCTCTATTAACAATCTTTCAATGCCATTGGTTAATCCGTACCACGTGACAAAACAATACATTTCAATGGATACCCCCTAAATCAAATGTCTGACACTGACCATGGATATTGATTCGTCACATGATCAATCTTCTTAGTAAACTTTTTCAGTTTGTAACCAGTTATGAGTCGTGCCTCTAGTATGAAGTACAGCTAATCAGTCATTTGATTGTGACGTAATAAATGACGTGACAATGGTCTGCAAAGCATTGTGATGCAATTCCATTGCAGCGACATCACAACGGAGATGTCGATTGATCACATATCGCGTGTGGAAACCATTTTTGCATGATAAATATTTTGATTGTCATAGTATTTGCAAAAAACAACTTCTATTCTTTGCATTTTTGCTAAATTGAGTAGGATTTGAAATATGCATTCAAACATATATTTAAGATACATTAATATAACGTTTCATCATTTGTTTTAAAAGTGACATTCGTATACTCTTTTCGTATACATGGCCTTGTGACGACAGATCTATATCTGGACAAGGATGCATTATAATACAAAAGAGATATTATAGGTTTTTTTTATCGACATTGAATTTTTCCTCACCTTCCTCTTCTTCCTCGGCTTCCCCGGGCTCTTCTGTTGTAGTAGTTGTAGTTGGAAGTGATGTCGTTGTGGCGGCTGGTGATTGTGACATTGATATGTTATTAGTTTTTAAATTTTGTAAATATACACAAAGAAAAACGTTAAACCCTGAACATAACTGATACTGAAATATCCCCTTTTACAACAGCTGCACATTTAGTGAATATGTCGAAAATGGTGTTCCGTCGAAATGACGTCACATCGCAGCATGACATGCACGTGCAGCATGCCGTCCATGCAAATTTAAAAAGGCAGTATCTGTACACAGCCGTTGTTGGTATTTAACCACACTGTCTTGCACTGTTGAAGCATTATCTTTGAACATGGCACGAAGGAGGTTATCACAGGTTATTATTGGTATTCATTCGACAGTGATGACATACAAAAGCACAGGACGTCGACAAGGGTATCATTATACCGTAATCAGTAGCTAGACTGGTACAAAAACACGGGCAAACCAGTGTTGTACAGGATCTCCCACGGTCAGGAAGACCTCGCATGACGTCAAGGCGTGAGGACATGGCCCTGCTTCGGCTAGTAGGTTGTCAACCATTTGCAACATCTACTGTTCCCAACGGAAGGATATAAATCGGAGCAGTGAGGAATCTACTGAAATCGCCGGGAATAAAGGTAATCAAGCGTTCCTTTCTTACGGATCATCATCGAAGAAATCGTTTAGCATGCTGCTTGGCCCGGTGATCTTGGAATCAGAGGACTTGGCGAAGAGTCCATTGGCCCGATGAGAGCAGGTTCTAGCTCCATGTCACAGATGGCCGATTGAGGGGTTGGAGACATGTTAATACCCAGGAACATAAGACTGTGACACCGTTTATTTGAGATTTGGGGTTGCCTGTCACACGATTGTTAGCTGGATCTTTTCACCAGCCAAGACAACCTCAATGGTGATCGGTACATTGCTTCTGGGTATTTTATGAATGGAACACGCCATCTTATTACAGTATCAATACTAAATATATAGTGCTGACATCAAGCTTACAACACCAATACTGTATACGTAATAACGATAATTTAGCACTTTCTCCCTCTACTTGCTCATAAGCAGTTGCAAAGTACTAACGTCACTATTACGTGACTGGAATACGCCATCTCATTACAACATGTATACTGCATATATGGTGAAGACGTCAAACGTACAATATATATATATACACAGTCTAACCTCGTTCTTTCGAACTTGGATGTGTCGAAATCCAAATTAAGCAATAATTCCAGGTCCCCACGAGTTCGACACACTCAGGTTCGACTGAATAGTGATGACGGGAAGCTTACAACAACAATACTGCATATAAAGTGGAGACCGGAAACTAACAATACCAATGGTGAGTGAGTGAATTGGATTTAACGCCGCTTTTAACAGTATTACAGTTATATCGCGGCGTGTCAGCTTAATGGTGGAGGAAAGCTCGAAGTGATGCAGGTCTCAGACGTTTAGCACTTCGGTGAAACCCACGAGCACGGGTATGGTGCTGACAAACCTAGAAACATAATCGGGGCGAACCGTGATTGAACCCACAATCATAGGTTCCTGGCGTGCCCAAGGGACGCAACTCTGCACAGCGAATCACGGCGCCTTAGACGACTGGGCCACCAGTGCCCCCTATATAGTGGAGAGGTCAAGCTTACAATACCAATGCTGCATATACAGTGACGACATTAATCTTACACTACCAATACCACGTGTAGTGAAGACGTAAAGCGTGAAGCTTATGATGCCAAAACTGCGGACAGAAGCATCAGTAACTTACCTTGACTGCTTCTGTTTTTCGTTCTGGATGTCAGTATATTGTACACATGAATCAATCTGCTATACACGCCCTGGTCACTTCCCACGGCCTTTGTCGTTACCGGAGCGATGGTCGTGGATGACGGTTCTGCAACAAATTAGATACAAACTTAGCTACCTTTCCAGTCCCTGCAAACAAAGCTGTAACAACTGACTAAATGCTTCTGAAACACATGAATCACATTGGCACTGCTCTCACACACTGACTGCACTCGCCATTTTATTATCCTCGAGGGGGCAGTGGCGGTGGGGTAGCCTTGTTGTTTGCTCGGCTGAAGCCCACTGCTGGTGTTCCCCGCCGACATATCGTTAAAATAGTGATAAACGCGGCGTAAAACCATACTCACTCACCCAATTGCAACTGAGGGGGCGTGGGTGACCTAGGTGTGTAAGGCACTGTGACGTGCATAAAATGGCGTCCCTTTGGGTTGCAAAAAATCAATAGTCTTTGGTTCGAATCCCAGATTCGGCCTTCTCCTGTTTCTAGGTTTGTCAGCACCATACACTTTCTTCGTGGGCTTCCCTTCAGTTGTAGATGTCTAAGACCTCCATCACCTGCATTGTCGTGGAATTACTAAAATACTGTTAAAAGTGGCGTTAAACACAATCCACTCACGCATGATCCTTGTTATGATAGATCGTCACGATATGGCTGAAATATTGCCGATGTTACGTTAAACTTTAACTCACTCACTCATTGTTATGATAGCGAAATGAATACAAGGTACATGAGACAAGCCCACTCTATTCTAGGTCAGTTGAATTTAACTGTTATATTGACTTTATACTTCGACATATAGTTGCATTCGAGGGGAAGTCACAATTGTATTTCCTTCTCATGGAATATTCGACAATGCCCCCCAATAGTGACGAATTCAATGACTGTTGACAGTCCGGATGTCCGGACAGTTGACAGTGACACCAGGTGTTCACACAGTGTGTGAGAATATAAAGCATTTTCGCCGTCATGCATGTGCGTTACATGTCAACAAGAACATTGACTTAGATGTCGAACGATTCCATAGAATCGCTCTGTCGACCATTGTGTATACTACAACTCGAAAGGTTCTAATCCAAGAAAGCGTTGAGTACGAGGTACTCGAGCGTGATCTACGAGGTGGCCCCGTAAGCAAATAAAAAATATCAACGACAGAGAATAAAAAGTCTAGATGATACGCTGAAACAGATTCCACTGGACATAAAGGACAAAATAGTGATGAAAATTATTTGAATAGATAAGTGAAAATAAATAATGACACCAGGTGAAAAGGGTAAGCCTGTCCTGCGTAAGAAACGCTTAGTGAACGCGCGGTGAATGTATCATATATACAAGTGTTCTAACCACAAAGTTGGCAGTTTGTAACTGGAAACTAGATTAAACTACCGACAGATACAGGATATATATTTGTCGTATGCGGTGAGATGTTTTGGTTAAGGCGACAATCTGGCCTCTACCGTGGCGTTCAATTTACTTTTTATTTGTAGTGTTTTGCATGGATAATACAACCAACCTTCCTCTGCTTCCTCGGCCTCTTCCGTCGTCGTTGTTGTTGTTTCATATTCAAAGGCGGGTGATGTTGCAGATATTGAAGATGGTGCCGTTGTAATATCTAAATTTGAGAGCATAAGGGGTTGTGAAACGCATTTTAAACAGCGAAATCCTAAAAGTACTACCGTATTGTTATATAAGGAAGCTTTCCTGCAGATGTATGCTTTTGTATTAATGACACAGTGTCCATTGTGTCCAGTAACGAATCAAAAGGGAACTAGCTGGCCTACACGATATGTTATTACATAATATTTTACGATCCTCTGGAATTGGGGTTAATTCTTGAGAAAACTTCTTGAGAAAAAGGACTTGGTGTTGTCACACCACATACTGTCCCATTGCCCATCACTGGTAAATGAATACGGTCAACGCCAGAGAATATCCAGTCTCGATTATCTTCCAAAACACACGACATGCAATACATGACTTGTGACACCATTGGACTTAATAGGCAAAGTAGGGGGTAAACAATGTGTTTATCTGAGACGCCCGAACACTGAAATTGTTCATAGGGGTCAGGGTCCAAGAGAATCTAAGCAACTGCATAGTCAGGTTACATAAATAAAAGTCCTCATTATACTGAATTTGGAAACTGCTTTCCAATGATGAAAGTCTTTTAACGAAATATATACGAATTTGGAATTAAATAAACCGTTCAAATGTACAAGATAGTGTTAGGTACCGGTGGAAAAGAGGCTTAGGGTTTTTTCAACTTATTCTTCTTTGCCTACAATATTTCCCAATACGCAGTGGGGATTTCTGGATATTGCATTAAATATGGAAATAATACGTAGTTTTTTTAAAAAGATTTATGAGTTTACTTTGTATCAAAACAAACAAACAAACATTCGTATTACTCTAGGTGATGTGGATAAGACTTAATTTTCATTCTTGTGAACTGTTATTGTAACACAACGTGTAAATTTGAATACAAATCCTGATATGTCCTATCATTGTTACAGTTTCTGGAACAAATACTGCTAGAATAAGGTTAAAACAGGACAATAAACATGCATATATAAATTGATTATTGCTCTATCTTGGGCAATGAGCAACACCCAAAACTATTCGATAGTGTTTGAGATATTGGATTTATTGTTATCTCACCCGCAAAAATCAGACACAAAATATTGTGAGCACAAAATGTTAATTTCACTTTTTCTTAAAAAGGCCCAACTAAGTCCTGAGTCTCAAAAAGATGATGTCATAGACGCATATCCACAAAATAATACCTCAAATAAAATAAAATTTAGCAGTGACGCGACAGTTAAAGAAGCGGGAGTGTGTGACCCTTGGAAAATGGACAAACTTGAGGAACGTCCTTCAATAGTATTGTACTCATATCTTCGTGGATGTGTTTTTGTATTAAGCCCTGTTCTGCTATACTCTGTACAGTTCACATGCCCCAAGTTTGTCCATTTTCCAAAGGTCACAGACTCAGATTTCATCAGTTGACTCAATTTCGTATGGATTTAACTCCATGACACCATGTATTGTCCCAAACAAAAGATTTCTCTATCTGTGCAAATCCTTCTATTGTAATATTTTGGTATCAACGGTAACCTTCTAGTTCCACTTCTTCCGTCATTGTTGGAGTAGAGGTTGGTACTGTAGTTTCTGGTGGGGTCATTGCCGGTAGCATGGCATGCCCTGTAGAGAAAGTTTGTTATAATGATTTACTTGAGCAGAGTCAGCGGTGTTCAGAGAATGTTTGTTCCTTTTATCGTTTCAATTCACGAGCGAGAATACCACACCAATACTGCATATATAGTGACGACCCCAAGCTTACCACACCAATACTGCATATATAGTGAAGACGCCAAGCTTACCCCACCAATACTGCATATATAGTGAAGACCCCAAGCTTACCCCACCAATACTGCATATATAGTGAAGACGCCAAGCTTACCACACCAATACTGCATATATAGTGAAGACGCCAAGCTTACCCCACCAATACTGCATATATAGTGAAGACCCCAAGCTTACCACACAAATACTGCATATATAGTGAAGACCCCAAGCTTACCACACAAATACTGCATATATAGTGAAGACGCCAAGCTTACCACACAAATACTGCATATATAGTGAAGACCCCAAGCTTACCCCACCAATACTGCATATATAGTGAAGACGCCAAGCTTACCCCACCAATACTGCATATATAGTGAAGACCCCAAGCTTACCCCACCAATACTGCATATATAGTGAAGACATCAAGCTTACCACACCCATACTGCATATATAGTGAAGACGCCAAGCTTACCCCACCAATACTGCATATATAGTGAAGACCCCAAGCTTACCCCACCAATACTGCATATATAGTGAAGACGTCAAGCTTACCACACCAATACTGCATATACAGTGAAGACATCAAGCTTACCCCACCAATACTGCATATATAGTGAAGACGTCAAGCTTACCACACCAATACTGCATATATAGTGAAGACCCCAAGCTTACCCCACCAATACTGCATATATAGTAAAGACGCCAAGGTTACCACACCAATACTGCATATATAGTAAAGACGCCAAGGTTACCACACCAATACTGCATATATAGTGAAGACGTCAAGCGTACCACACCAATACTGCAGATGAAAGTCACTGACCTTGATTGCTTCTGTTGGTTGTTCTGGCTGACAACATCTTGAACACACGAATCAGCCTGCTGTACACGCCCTGGCCACCTTCCACGACCGTTACTGGAGCAAGGGTCGTTGATGTAGGCACTGCAACAGATGATATAGAAACTTAGACTCCTCGCCAGGCCCTGCAAATACAGCTGTAACAACTGACTCAATGCTTCTTGAACAACCAAATCACACTGACATTGCTCTCACGAACATTGTCCTTACCAATGCTGCCATCATGACCATAGAGGTGTTAATACGTAAAGGAATATGTCATTGCTTATAGTAAGGAAATAAAGTGAGTGAGTGAGTATGGTTTTACGCCGCTTTTAGCAATATACCAGCAATATCAGGGCGGGGGACACAGGAAATGGGCTTTACACATTGTACCCATGTCGGGAATCGAACCCGGGTCTTCGGCGTGACGAGCGAACGCTTTAACCATTAGGCTACCCGACCGCCACGTAAGGAAATAAAAGAGTATATTTGATTTATACATTCATATAAAGATAAGATTAGTCCCAAGTGACGATTATGTAAAAGCTGTTGTCATATAGCTTAAACAAGAAACAATATATATAGGCGTTCTCGGTTTTAATCCTTTGAAAGGTGTTGCTTCAATTATTCTTAGTCAATTAGATCACTGTTCATTTTAACCAACCTGCAGCTTCTTCAATCTCTTCTGTCGCTGGTGATGTTGTTGTTGTTGTAGTTGTAGTCGGAGGTGTAGTTTCTATATATTCAGAAATACATATCTTAAGATAGAGTGTAAATGAAGATATTGAAGTCGTTACGCTACAGTGTAGATTGACCTGGATATACTATATGTACTTATACAGAGTTGAGTGAGTCAGTGAGCTTTTAACAGTATTAGTTATATCACGGCGTGTCAGCTTAATGTGGGAGGAAAGCCCGAAGTGATGCAGGTCTCAGACATTTACCACTTCGGTGAAACCCACGAGCACGAGTATGGTGCTGACAAACCTAGAAACATAATCGGGGCGAACCGGGATTCGAACCCACAATCATAGGTTTCTGACGTGCCGAAGGGACGAAACTCTGCACAGCGAATCGCGGCGCCTTAGACGACTTGGCCACCCGTGCCGCCTTATACAGAATTGACCTGGGTTGATCACATGTGTGTATAAAGAACTGACCTGGATGTACTACATGTGTGTAAAGAACTGACCTTGATGTACTACATGTGTGTACAGGACTGACCTTGGTGTACTACATGTGTGTACAGAACTGACCTTGGTGTACTACATATGTCTACAGAACTGACCTGGATGTACTACATGTGTGTACAGAACTGGCCTTGGTGTACTACATGTGTGTACAGAACTGACCTTGGTGTACTACATGTGTGTACAGAACTGACCTTGATGTACTACATGTGTGTACAGAACTGACCTTGGTGTACTACATGTGTGTACAGAACTGACCTTGGTGTACTACATGTGTGTACAGGACTGATCTTGGTGTACTACATGTGTGTACAGAACTGACCTGAATGTACTACATGTGTGTACAGAACTGACCTGGATGTACTACATGTGTGTACAGAACTGGCCTTGGTGTACTACATGTGTGTACAGAACTGACCTTGGTGTACTACATGTGTGTACAGAACTGACCTTGATGTACTACATGTGTGTACAGGACTGACCTTGGTGTACTACATGTGTGTACAGAACTGACCTTGGTGTACTACATGTGTGTACAGGACTGATCTTGGTGTACTACATGTGTGTACAGAACTGACCTGAATGTACTACATGTGTGTACAGAACTGACCTGGATGTACTACATGTGTGTACAGAACTGACCTTGGTGTACTACATGTGTGTACAGAACTGACCTTGGTGTACTACATGTGTGTACAGAACTGACCTTGGTGTACTACATGTGTGTACAGGACTGATCTTGGTGTACTACATGTGTGTACAGAACTGACCTTGGTGTACTACATGTGTGTACAGGACTGATCTTGGTGTACTACATGTGTGTACAGGGCTGACCTGGATGTACTACTTGTGTGTACAGAACTGACCTTGGTGTTCTACATGTGTGTACAGAACTGACCTGGATGTACTACATGTGTGTATAAAGAACTGACCTGGATGTACTACATGTGTGTACAGAACTGACCTTGGTGTACTACATGTGTGTACAGAACTGACCTTGGTGTACTACATGTGTGTACAGGACTGACCTGAATGTACTACTTGTGTGTACAGAACTGACCTTGGTGTTCTACATGTGTGTACAGAACTGACCTGGATGTACTACATGTGTGTATAAAGAACTGACCTGGATGTACTACATGTGTGTACAGAACTGACCTTGGTGTACTACATGTGTGTACAGAACTGACCTTGGTGTACTACATGTGTGTACAGGACTGATCTTGGTGTACTACATGTGTGTACAGAACTGACCTGAATGTACTACATGTGTGTACAGAACTGACCTGGATGTACTACATGTGTGTACAGAACTGACCTTGGTGTACTACATGTGTGTACAGAACTGACCTTGGTGTACTACATGTGTGTACAGAACTGACCTTGGTGTACTACATGTGTGTACAGGACTGATCTTGGTGTACTACATGTGTGTACAGAACTGACCTTGGTGTACTACATGTGTGTACAGGACTGATCTTGGTGTACTACATGTGTGTACAGGGCTGACCTGGATGTACTACTTGTGTGTACAGAACTGACCTTGGTGTTCTACATGTGTGTACAGAACTGACCTGGATGTACTACATGTGTGTATAAAGAACTGACCTGGATGTACTACATGTGTGTACAGAACTGACCTTGGTGTACTACATGTGTGTACAGAACTGACGTGGATGTACTACATGTGTGTACAGAACTGACCTGGATATCGATGTTCTACATGTGTGTACAGAACTGACCTTGGTGTACTACATGTGTGTACAGAACTGACCTTGGTGTACTACATGTGTGTACAGAACTGACCTGGATGTACTACATGTGTGTACATAACTGACCTTGGTGTACTACATGTGTGTACAGAACTGACCTTGATGTACTACATGTGCGTACAGGACTGACCTTGGTGTACTACATGTGTGTACAGAACTGACGTGGATGTACTACATGTGTGTACATAACTGACCTTGGTGTACTACATGTGTGTACAGAACTGACCTTGGTGTACTACATGTGTGTACAGGACTGACCTGGATGTACTACATGTGTGTACAGAACTGACCTTGGTGTACTACATGTGTGTACATAACTGACCTTGGTGTACTACATGTGTGTACAGAACTGACCTGAATGTACTACATGTGTGTACATAACGGACCTGGATGTACTACATGTGTGTACAGAACTGACCTGGATGTACTACATGTGTGTACAGAACTGACCTTGGTGTACTACATGTGTGTACAGAACTGACCTGGATGTACTACATGTGTGTACAGAACTGACCTGGATATCGATGTACTACATGTGTGTACAGAACTGACCTTGATGTACTACATGTGTGTACAGAACTAACCTTGGTGTACTACATGTGTGTACAGAACTGACCTTGGTGTACTACATGTGTGTACAGAACTGACCAGGATGTACTACATATGTGTACAGAACTGACCTGGATGTACTACATGTGTGTACAGAACTGACCTGGATGTACTACATGTGTGTACAGAACTGACCTTGGTGTACTACAGGATGACCATTCGTAAATACTCCTTTCCTCATCGACAACATCTTGACCACCCCAAGCAACCGATTGTACAACCCTTGTTGACCTTCAGAGACCGCCATAGTTAAGGGATTTGTTGTAGGGGTATTCACGGCTGTAGCAACTGTGGAAAACAATATTGATGGGCGATCAATACAATCCCCTCACGACTCGGTCAGTTTAAAGATTGTCCGAAACAGATGAAATATTATCACAATTTATGTTTTCAAATATTATTGGTTATTTGTATTTAGAACAACGACTGTGATAACCAGTCTCGATTGTCCGCTGAAAAAGACTCCATTGGGCGTGAAAGGCAAAATAGAGGTGAAACTTATATGAATGAAAATCAGTGATGAAAATGGTGAGCATGTCCTTTGCACTTTGCTAAATGGACTAGTTTCTTTTTATTGCTCCTATACGGCTACGTGCATTGTGTATGTGTCCGGGGAGGGGGCTGCTTGTACTAGCTAGGAAATGGGATGATGATGCTGTGGATGATAGACTGATGAGATATACGCAGTTGCGCAAACCCATCATCTTAACAAACCTTCATCTACTCTTCCAGACTCTTCAGTCTCTGCTGCAGCTGGGAATGTAGTTGTAGGAGCTGGTGTTGATGTCGTTACTATATCTGTTGCAAAACATATAAATACACAGAGATTAAACTCCATACCCTCTCTGTCCAACCAAAGTGGATGCTTTTCCCAATTACAAATAGTCTTACTCAAGTAATGCGTCTTCAGTTCTATATCTCACACAGTTTGGAAATATTATGAGTGAGTGAGTGAGCTAGTTTAACGCCGCTATGTACAGTATTTCAGTTATACCAACGTTTCAGCTTGAAAGGGGCGGGCAGAGACGTGATGCATATTGAGTCTTTCATCACTTCGGTTTTAACCAGGGTGTACCGTGCTGACAAACCAAGCTTCATCTTCAGGAGGAATCTGAGATTCGAACCCACGATCATAGCTTTCCAGCGCGACTAAGGGACGCAACTCAGCAGAACGAATTGCTGCGCCTTAGACAACTGGGCCTGGCCACTCGTGCCCCAAAATATAATGAACATGAATGAGTCAGATATAATCAGGCGTCATTTTGTGACTTAATGATAATGATTACAACCTAACACTAAATGCTTTCAATATAACCTTATCGAGCTGACAACAATACTAATTTCACAGACTGCTTATTTTACCATTAACACACAAAAACTACAGACAACGATACGAAATAGGTGACATCGTTCAAAGCAATAATTCAACCTATTCTGTTATCAGCCAATCGGAAAACCGTTGTCTGGCGTGGCCTATCATATTTCGTTTAATCGAAACTTAATTCAAAATAAATTGCTTGATTCGCCAATCAAATGCTACGGAGGCACTTGCAATTTAGTTATTACGTAACACTGAAGGTTGTATTCTATTATGCATTTAACAACGATATTTATTAGGACCAGTCGTGTAACGAACTCTGCATGTCAGGAAATGCATGCTGCGCGTGTCAGCCATATGTCATGGCGGAAATATCAACGTCGAGTTTATATCTGTCTGAAGTACAAGACTATAATGAAAACATACCGGACGTTTCTAAATGTAGGAAATAATTTATTTATTTCCCACAGTAACCTGAACGTCATACCGAGCCATTTCGTTCCGAGACAGTTGTAGATTAATGATGAAACTAATACAGATATGTCATGGTGAAGCACGGTCACACCCGCATCTATAAATGTCATACAGATAGACTACAGTACATTGTAATGTTATGCAGAGGGACATTAATCAAACTTTAGCGGCATAATTTCGTCTACATATTATTTATTAGTTCATTTTTCAACTTAAATAACAACTGACAAGATTTCTATTTTTGGTGAAGAAGAAAAAAATATGTTTACCGCTTCATAGATGATCATCAGAATTATCAATCTGAGGTACCCGCCTCCAAATTTGAATTATGAACTATATCGACGTGGAAAGTCAGACTGCACTTGTTGAACACAAAATATATATTTGCTTACAAAATGGAAAACGTATGTTCGAGTCTATTGTGAGTTTTGAATTTTTGATAAAGCCAAATTCCATGATTTATTGTTTTCGGAATGAAATGCCGTCTTAAGTATCTGTGCAAGATTCTACCAACACAATTTAGAATCATTATGATTGGTCAATCAGCGTTATCGGTAAATTTCATTCGGATTTGAAAAAAAGTATACATGTAGGTATCGAATCAAAGTTCGAAACTCTTAATATTGAAAAAAAAGATTAGGTTCATTTACATTCTCCCAGGACACAATGACAAAACAAACGCGAACTCTATATATCTGAAAGTGCCAATATTTAACATATTGAGCCATGGTTGTCCGCGGTAATGCAGTCATCAGCACCGTGATGGTCTGAAGTAGATTTCTTACAGCGGGCAGAACAATTAGAAAGCCGGATTATGAAAGGCCTTGGTATAATCTACGCTGAGTGATGTCTTGAATGATGACCGCATCACCGAGTAAGAAAATATTTGTTTGAAAGCACATCTTTCACAAAATCAACCGGTAGGCAATTGCAAATAATATTCTTACTACATTAACGTTGCGAAATTCCGTGTTGATTTTTGTAGAGCAGATTTGGCAATACACCTTAGACAAATATCTCACTTTAATGATGTAAAATAAACTGCAAATTTCAACCGCGGCTTGACATTTGTCGCTACTCTCGAACTGTGGCGACATGTCTTCTACGTCACAAAACTCTGGCATTATTTCTGTAGAACATAATGGCGTCAGAATACTGATATGTACTTCAAAACTAAATGAAGTAAAGATGGCCTTATTTTCTCTAGGGAGGACTGATTGAAACATGCTTACATGAGATCTGCGCTGGATGGTACTGTGACATATTAGAGAGAGTTAAATGTTATCGTGAGATTATATACAAGCGGATTAAACTCATTCTTCATTGATCCCTAAATTAGACCATTTAATTATACAAACTATCAGACCAACCTGATTCCACATTAATCATCACCTCCGCTATTTCGAAAGAGTTCGTGTTTATCATCTCGGCTTGTTGTGATAGAATGACGATAAACCTACTGTGTTTCTAATTCAGATGTTTCCAATACAAGAATTTATAAGACTGTCACCTTCTAATTCCGTTGGTTGAAATTCCATGGTAGTTGTTGGAATAGGTGTTGGTGGAGACGTTGTTGACACGGTTGGCAACGTAGTGGGTTCTGTAGATAAACATAGTGTGACACTAGGGGAATATAAACTGAGGGGCAAAAGAAACGCCACCAAATAAATAATGGTCGTCAGTTTTCAACAAATTTGCCAAACAGCACAAAAACAGTTGGGAACACATAGCTGAAATGCAAGGTACCTATTCCCTGTGAACTTGTGCACGTGATTCACGTGATTTGCGAGAAAAGTGAACTTAATAACTAAAAAATGCAAAATGTGCACAGAGTTACCCGTATGAAATTCAGGTATAAAATATGAGCAGGATTGTACTCTCTCATCACATGAAACCGTTTAAAACAACGAACATGCCTCGACTAACCGCAGAGCAGAGGGAGAGTGCCATCGGTATGTTGCAAATGGGAGCGACGCAGGAGCACGTTGCCGGGACCATGCCTGCTTCAAGTACAACATCGCCAGACTTGTCACACGTCACAGGCAAATTGGCAGTACCGCAGACAGGCCGAGGAGTGGAAGACCCAAGGTCACGACCCCACAGGAAGACTGGTATTTACGGGTGCTTCACCTAAAGTCCAGATTCCTAACTGTGACATCATCATCCGCAAACAGCCTTGGAAATCCAGCAGAAGGACCGTTGCTAGACGACTCCGCCTGTATGGTCTCCGTGCCTATCGATCTTCAAGGGCATGACGTTAACGTTTCTACACCGACGTCACAGGCTGAGATGGGCCAGGACTATACAGCAGAGGCAGCAGAGAAATTGGCGAAGAGTGCTCTTCAGCGACGGGAGTAGGTGCCCGCTCTTCAAATCTGATGGGCGGATTCGAATCTACCGACGACATGGTGAACTGACGGCACGTTGTTGCGCCTGATGGAGGTGGTAGTGTCTTGGTCTGGGGTGGCATCTGCGGGGCCAAGAAGACAGATCTCTTCAACATCGACGGAAATATCACTGCACGTCGTTACATTGATGGGGTTTTGCGGCCTGTGGTACTGCCTTTCCTGCAACGTCACCCACTGACGCTGTTTCAGCAGGACAACGCCACACCTCACACAGCTCGAGTCACTAGCGGCTTTCTGAACGCCAAAAACGTGACCGTATTACAGTGGCCAGCCAGATCACCGGACCTGTCGCCCAAAGAGCACATCTAGGACCAACATGGACGCAGGATTCGGAAACGTCAACAGCCGCCATTCACGAGGGATGCCTTGGCAATTGCCCTGCAAGAAGAATGGCGTCAGATCCCTTATCAGAATGTCAGAAGACTCGTGTACTCAGTTCGACGTCGTGTTGGGGCCTGCAGCGTTGCTGGAGGGAGTCGCATCCGATACTGAGCCATGTGTGTAGCACGGGACTTTAAAAGAGATCGACGTCGATTCTGCGGGTGTGATCGAATACTGGACAGTGCACCCAGCTAATAAACGTGTCTGCAGAACTACAAGTACATGGTTTTTTATCTTGTAATTTTCAAAAACCGTTTTTGATTAATTGTTTTTTTTATAATAAAACATCAACTGTTACTAAATTTTGCGTCTGTTTTGCTTCAGACCAAAAAATTGTTTGGTGGCGTTTCTTTTGCCCGTTAGTCTATACGTATACGGTACAAATACAGAGTGTGTTGGCTTTTGTTTTGTTTGTTGTTTAACGCCACACTCAGCAATATTCCAACTATATGACGGCGGTCTGTAAATAATCGGGTATAGCCAGATAGTCCAGTGATTGATATCATGAGCATCGATCCACGCAATTGGGATATGATGACATGCATCACCCAAGTCGGCGAGCCTGACCACCCGATCCCGTTTGCCGTTTTTGTGTTGCCTAGGCCTCTCAAGACACGCATGGGTTGTTGGATCTTCATAGGTTAGGGTGTTGGCAAACAGTTTCTGTTGGCATACTTGTATCCTAATATATCAATGCCAGCGCCACATATATGTCCCACTAACCTGATGCAGTTCCACTTTGGAATACCACTGGATGTCCGTTTAAGGGTATTCTGTTCCTAAAGGACAATAGTTTGACCATGTCGCGCAGCCGACTGTACAGACCAGTTCCGGGGACTGGGGTTGTGACAGGAGCTGGAGTGGGAACATCCATGGCTGTCGAAACTGAAACAAGGCACATCTATGCAGTCGCTAACAGGATTACAAGATGGTGTAAATGTCGAATATGTACGCGGTAAACACTAACTGACTTCTCTCACAGACTGGTAAGGGGCGGTCGGGTAGCCTAGTGGTTAAAGCGTTCGCTCGTCACGCCGAAGACCCGGGTTCGAATCCCGACATGGGTACAATGTGTGAAGCCCATTTCTGGTGACCCCCGCCCTGATATTGCTGGAATATTGCTAAAAGCGGCGTAAAACCAAACTCACTCACTCACTCACTCACTCACTCACTCACTCACTCACAGACTGGTAACGTTAACACACTCTACAGTGGTATACAGGGCTACAGCTATTCCGTGGGTCTTTCAGATATCCGTTGCGTCTGGTAGTTACTCTTTTACTGATACTTGTGTGAGGTAGAGCAAGACAAGGTAACTTTTTTCGCGAACACCCGGTACCATCACGAATTTTCAGTGATCCATTCGTATAATTCATATAACGGCAGATAATCGACAGTGGTTATTCGCATCGTTTACGTTTTGCATTTAGAGTACTTATCTAGCCGGTGGCACGGGTGGCCCAGTCGTCTAAGGCGCCGCGATTCGTTGTGCAAAGTTGCGTCCCTTGGGCACGCCAGAAACCTATGATTGTGGGTTCGAATCCTGGTTCGTCCCGATTAAATTTCTAGGTTTGGCAGCACCATACCCGTGCTCGTGGGTTTCACCGAAGTGGTAAACGTCTGAGACCATCATCACTTCGAGCTTTCCTCCCACATTAAGCTGACACGCCGCGATATACCTGAATACTGTTAAAAGCGGCGTTGAACCCAACTCACTCACTCACGTATCTAGCCGTGTCATATAATTGATAAACCGTAGTGAAATCTGAAATACAACATAACACCCTACCATACATTAAAGGGACCATATTCAAGAGAAAATGAAGTAATGGAGCTCTATCTTTCAGTAATAGAAAGGTGCTAAACCCCTCAAATGTGGTTCTTGCCTCAGTAAACATGAAGGTATAAGTAAACTATTTATCACCCACCTTCCTCTGCCCGACCAGGTTCTTCACCTGCTGTATCCGGTGTTGTAGTGAATGCAGCCATTGATTCTGTTGTTAATCGATCTATTCCAGATTACAAAAGAATTAAAGATTCACATTTCAGAATGGTTAATATATATTGGTATATCACTGCATGTTTTGCTTATGTTGTATTAGTGAGCGGCAGAATGTAGTTCTACACCGATTGCCTAATTGTATTTAGGAGCGCAGGATGAAATCGAGGCAAGCCTATAGTTGTTAAAACATCCTAAGCGTAAACTGTGACACACATGTGAAGGAATGGGGACGTGGATGGGGACGTGGATAAACGACAAAGGGATGCTGAAATACATTTCCTATCTTAACTTGTAGCTATTTTTCGACTGTTTCGGGATCATACACCATCCATGTTTCCTTGAGAACTCCGTTGACATCTGGATGATGGGTGGGAACTGTCACAGTCGTGAATATGAGAGCATAATTAGTATTACTGTTTCCCTTAGTTCTAGAAACAAAAGGTAATATATATTAGCATGTGTGCCGTAATTTTTTTAAAAAAAACTCTTTAAACTGTTCACTGGAAAAACATCACGACAATGACTGTTTTTGTTCAATGCTCGTTGCAGGGCTCCACTTCAGACACTATCCGTCGAATTCCAGACAGTTTGTTATTCCACCCTAAACGGGGGAAAGCTTTCTTCTTTTCTTATTTTTTGTGGTAATTACACAAGCGGTCTGGTATAAGAGCCATGAAAAGAAGAATGTCTGTTATTTGTTCCATGATTTACGGTATTCATAATGAACAGTCGTGTAAAGAACTCTTCATATCTTAATCCTGCGTATGATTAGCTGATGAAAGTATTATTTCAACTGACAATAACCTTCTTGTTCTGTTGGTTCAATTTCCACTGTCCTGGTTGGAATAGTTGACAGAGAAGTTGCTGATACGGTAGAAAACGGTGTTTGCTCTGCAGATAAACACAGGATAACACACGTTTTATTTAATCTAACAGTACATTAAAATACACACTATGTTTCGAGTTATGTAAATCATATAATGAAACAAGATCCTTTGCCATAAGCACAAGACATTATAAATGTTATCATCTTGAATTGGAAATTTTCTGAAACAGGTTCTCAAATCAACGTAGGGATATTGACATAGACCATCCTCCTTCCAGAGGCTTGATATATACCGTGTACCACAAAGAAATGTAATGTTCCCTTGTCAAGTGTATAGTACTGCGTGACTATCTCAGCACTACAAGTATTCCAGACTAACCTGCTTGAGTTTGGGTTTTAAATACTAAGGGAGGTTTGTTGGCATCGGCTTGGTTCCTGGAGGACAGCTGTTTAACCATGCCTAGCAGCCGGCTGTACAGGGCGTTTCTTGGGACAAAGGTTGTCAAAGAAGCTGGTGTGGGGACATCGATGACTCTCGAAACTGTAAAAGTCATTAATATTATTGTGCAGATTTCAAACATATCATAAACGTACACATCAATACTTGCCTTTGACAGAAAGCCGTCATACAGCTGGAATATTGCAGAATACGGCGCTAAACAACAATCAAGCTAAACACATCTTTAACAGAATTGTTACACTGCGAAAATTTGTAATCTTATCCAGGATTACTTTCTTTAATTCTCACATTCTCATGTATGGGTAATACTCGACGCATACATGACAGGTTGTGTCATTTTAGTTTGTTGTGTTTTGAGCAGTGAGAATGATCAAACCATGACTGGAGCTGTAGTTTAGATACGATACACCTGTGTGTTAACTTTGGAACAAATATCCAAAGTGTTGACGGTCAAAGTTATTCGAGCTGATAATACATTGATAGACTCCACTGATGGCGACACATCAAGGTCTATAATCAGGTATAATTCGGGATTTCAAACTGACACCCACAAGGAATCGCCCGAGTTCATGAGACCATCTGTGCCTTGCCGCAATAGCTGGAAAGAACTTCGGATCAATTCGGATCCTTGCATCCACGGAACGCAACTCTGCATATAGACTGTAATCATTGGAGTGGTAACACTGCATCAGCAGTAAAATTCGGACCGGGCGAGAACATGCATGAAGAAAATATTTGATTCCACCACTAGATGTTATTAAATATTTGGTCACAAACCTTTCTCCGACCGTTGGGGCTCTTCCGCCGCTCTAGCTGCAGGAGATGAGGTGAGAGTTGCGCTTGTTGTTGTCGTTACTCTATCTGTTACAGAATATAAAGAAACTGAATATATACATCAACATTTTCAAAAAGGAAGTATATTCGTCACAACAACAAATACAATATCTGTGGTCTGTGGTACCTGAGTCAGTAGTAAATTGACGGTTGATAACGTGAGCAGCCCTGTTCTTGCCACGCGGAAAACTGGAAATGCACTCAGTTTGGTGACACCCTTTTTAAACACAAGAACAATTGTGCCATAAATGTAAAGAAAGGTAACATTTTAAGCCTGATCTTAGGAATGCGAATGTTTGGGTTTCATCCCAAAGGAGAAGACAAAGTGAACAAACTGCCAAAATTGCATTGCAATAACATGTCATGTGACAGGACACTTAACAAAATACATATATATTATCATAACATATAGCAGTATATTCGTGTGATGTCCCTTTCTTCTGTTTAACTCGTTGACACATGGATGATTGAATGAAACTGGAGCAGTAACTAATATGAATGCATGATTGGTCCGACATTCATTTGTTCTATAATGTACTACCGTACACCATCACCCTATCATTATGAGTTTAGTTTCCAGTCTATTTTGAATCTCTACAGGCCTCAAAACATACATCGACATAAGCATTAGCGGACATTTTAATAAAATTAGAACAAAAGCAGTTAAGCAGTAAAAGGACCACAAACGGAAGCAACAAGCATGGTCATGTATTCTAAAATGACAAGTTCAATACATCATCTGGTAATAGACGAGGGTCACATGAGAGTCAACAAGGATCAAGCACCTACTAAATGGATAACCTTTCACCACATGTTTGTACTTTTACTTAATCTAAAAACAGCTTTGGTCCAAATGTTAAAAATGCATAATAAAACTCCTCAAATGGCATATACAAATATTGAAAAGAACACAGCTATATTTTCATCTGTATTAAAAGATCCTATAACTTTTTACAACATTGCATTTAATATTATTCCTCTTTCGTAAGGTTTATTGTCGACCTGTAAGGGCCATTGTGCGGACTGGTATACGGGCCATGACAAGAAGATTACCTGAACATGTATTCCATGATTTACGGTATTCATAATGAACAGTCATTGTAAGAACTGTTCTATCGGCAAATCCTGCGCACGTATAGTATTAATTCAACTGATATTATCCTAATAATTTTGTGTGCCCAGTTGGTCCGATATTCATTACTTCTATATACAACATGGAGTAATGTAACACTAGAGTGGGTGAGTGAATGTGGTTTTACGCCGCTTGTAGTAATATTACAGCACCGACCCAGTAAAACAGCGGGAATGCAATCAGGTTCAGCCGCATGTGTACTTTGATATAATTACAAGCCTAATAACTTAAATCGACATAACAAGAGGCGTTTGAAAAAAATAGATCATATAAACGAAAGGCGTTATAACAAAACAGTGGCAACAAACATGGATGACAAATTCAGGAGATTCGGATCGTTTTATTTGTTTCTTTGTTGTTTAGTATTCATGCTATATGACTGCGATCTGTAAATAATCAAGTCTTGACCAGACAATCCAAGGATTGACATCATGAGCACCGATCCACGCAATTGGGGTACGATGACATGCACCAACCTGACCACCCGATCCCGTAAGTCGCCTCTAGCGACAAGCATAGTCGCCTTTTTCGGCAAGCATGGGTTGCTGAAGACCTATTCTAATGGACGATTGTCAGGTAATTATCATCCATTCTGAAAAGCTCTTATTGACGAGTCAACATATACGTACATGCATATGTTTAATTCTCATTCATATAAACACAACCTATAACAGGTTTGGTAAGAAAAAGAATGCCCTTATTCCTCTTTTTACTGAGGTGGCGTGACATAATATAAGCGGGAACGCACGAGGGACTTGTAAAGAAGCATGTCTTGGGTTCTAATCTACAACAAAGCTGGTACATATAGAACATATCTGTGTTAGGAACGCTATGACTCTGCCAGTCCTGCGTATGATTAGCCTGTGTAAGTATGAATGCGACTGACAATGACCTTCAAATTCCGTTGGTTCAACTTCCATGGTAGTTGTTGGAATAGGTGTTGGTAGAGACGTTGTTGACACGGTTTGCAACGTCGTGTATTCTGTAGATAAACACAGGGTGACACTCGTATGACTGTGTGAAGCTAAACATTATCATACATATATGAGTCTCGAGATGTTTATTTTAAAACCATATGATAAAGAGAATGTTTCTGTAGGATATGTTTTAAGTGGGAATATAGATAAAGGCTAGTTTTTATCCATATGTTTATTTTATCATCCAAGACAGGCTTCCACAGGAGAAATATTGCCTGGAGGGAAATTGCATCACATTGCTTTGCAGGCCATTGTGATGATATCGGTAATAATGACGTCATAATCATCGGTGACAATGAGGTCCTCATCAAATGACGTCACTTATCACTCCTGGGTGCCGTTGTACAAAACTACTTTAGAGCTAAGACTGTCATAAGTCTATGTTTAGGTATGGGAGCTACGATCACCTTAGCGCAAAGATCGCTCTGTTCAACGTCACCACGAAGCCTTTTTGCTATACCATTTACACACACTTTTTATATTAGCATGGGTGTCGTTAATTTTAAAAAAACAAATCTTTAAACTGTTTACTGAAAAAACATCACGACGATGACCGTCCTTGTTCCATGCTCGTTGCAGGGCTCCACTTCAGACACTATCCGTCGAATTCCACACAGTTTGTTATTCCTGAGCCTAAACGGGGAAAAACTTTCTTCTTTTCTTATTTTTTGTGGTAATTACACAAGCGGTCTGGTGTAAGAGCCATGAAAAGAAGAATGTCTGATATTTGTTCCATGATTTACGGTATTCATGATGAACAGTCGTGTTAAGAACTCTTCATATCTTAATCCTGCGTATGATAAGCTGATGAAAGTATTATTTCAACTGACAATAAGCTTTTTGCTCTGTTGGTTCAATTTCCACGGTACTGGTTGGAATACTTGACAGAGAAGTTGCTGATACGGTAAAAAACGGTGTGTGCTCTGCAGATAAACACAGGATGACACACGTTTTATTAAATCTAACTGTACATTAAAATACACACTATGTTTCGAGTTATGTAAATCATGTAATGAAACAAGATCCTTTGCCATAAGCACAAGACACTATAAATTTTATCATCTTGAATTGGAAATTTTCTGTTTCAGGTTCTCAAATCAACGTAGGGATATTGACATAGACCATCCTCCTTCCAGAGGCTTAATATATACTGTGTACCACAAAAAATTAAATGTTCCCTTGTCAAGTGTATAGTACTGCGTGACTATCTCAGCACTACAAGTATTCCAAACTTACCTGCTTGAGTTTGGGTTTTAAATACTAAGGGATGTTTGTTGGCATCGGCTCGGCTCCTAGTGGACAGCTGTTTAACCATGCCTAGCAGCCGGCTGTACAGGGCGTTTCTGGGGACAAAGGTTGTCAAAGAAGCTGGTGTGGGGGCATCGATGACTCTCGAAACTGTAAAAGTCATTAATATTATTGTGCAGATTTCAAACATATCATAAACGTACACATCAATACTTGCCTTTGACAGAAAGCCGTCATACAGCTGGAATATTGCAGAATACGGCGCTAAACAACAATCAAGCTAAACACATCTTTAACAGAATTGTTACACTGCGACAATTTGTAATCTTATCCAGGATTACTTTTCTTTAATTCTCACATTCTCATGTATGGGTAATACTCGACGCATACATGAAAAATTGTGTCATTTTAGTTTGTTGTGTTTTGAGCAGTGAGAATGATCAAACCATGACTGGAGCTGTAGTTTAGATACGATACATCTGTGTGTTAACTTTGGTACAAATATCCAAAGTGTTGACGGTCAAAGTTATTCGAGCTGATAATACATTGATGAACTCCACTGATGGCGACACATCAAGGTCTATAATCAGGTATAATTCGGGATTTCAAACTGACACCCACAAGGAATCGCCCGAGTTCATGAGACCATATGTGCCATTGCCGCAATAGCTGGAAAGAACTTCGGATCAATTCGGATCCTTGCATCCACGGAACGCAACTCTGCATATAGACTGCAATCATTGGAGTGGTAACACTGCATCAGCAGTAAAATTCGGACCGGGCGAGAACATGCATGAAGAAAATATTTGATTCCACCTCTAGATGTTATTAAATATTTGGTCACAAACCTTTCTCCGACCGTTGGGGCTCTTCCGCCGCTCTAGCTGCAGGAGATGAGGTGTGAGTTGCGCTTGGTGTTGTCGTTACTCTATCTGTTACAGAATATAAAGAAACTGAATATATACATCCACATTTTCAAAAAGGAAGTATATTCGTCACAACAACAAATACAATATCTGTGGTCTGTGGTACCTGAGTCAGTAGTAAATTGACGGTTGATAACGTGAGCAGCCCTGTTCTTGCCACGCGGAAAACTGGAAATGCACTCAGTTTGGTGACACACTTTTTAAACAGAAGAACAATTGTGCCATAAATGTAAAGAAAGGTAACATTTTAAGCCTGATCTTATGGATGCGAATGTTTGGGTTTCATCCCAAAGGAGAAGACAAAGTGAACAATGTGCCAAAATTGCATTGCAATAACATGTCATGTGACAGGACACTTAACAAAATACATATATATTATCATAACATATAGCAGTATATTCGTGTGATGTCCCTTTCTTCTGTTTAACTCGTTGACACATGGATGATTGAATGAAACTGGAGCAGTAACTAATATGAATGCATGATTGGTCCGACATTCATTTGTTCTATAATGTACTACCGTACACCATCACCCTATCGTTATGAGTTTAGTTTCCAGTCTATTTTGAATCTCTACAAGCCTCAAAACATACATCGACATAAGCATTAGCGGACATTTTAATACAATTAGAACAAAATCAGTTAAGCAGTAAAAGGACCACAAACGGAAGCAACAAGCATGGTCATGTATTCTGAAATGACAAGTTCAATACATCATCTGGTAATAGACGAGGGTCACATGAGAGTCAACAAGGATCAAGCACCTACTAAATGGATAACCTTTCACCACATGTTTGTACTTTTACTTAATCTAAAAACAGCTTTGGTCCAAATGTTAAAAATGCATAATAAAACTCCTCAAATGGCATATACAAATATTGAAAAGAACACAGCTATATTTTCATCTGTATTAAAAGATCCTATAACTTGTTACAACATTGCATTTAATATTATTCCTCTTTCGTAAGGTTTATTGTCGACCTGTAAGGGCCATTGTGCGGACTGGTATACGGGCCATGACAAGAAGATTACCTGAACATGTATTCCATGATTTACGGTATTCATAATGAACAGTCATTGTAAGAACTGTTCTATCGGCAAATCCTGCGCACGATGATAGTATTAATTCAACTGATATTATCCTAATAATTTTGTGTGCCCAGTTGGTCCGATATTCATTACTTCTATACACAACATGGAGTAATGTAACACTAGAGTGGGTGAGTGAATGTGGTTTTACGCCGCTTGTAGTTATATTACAGCACCAACCCACTAAAACAACTGGACTGCAATCAGGTTTAGTCGCATGTGTATTTTGAATAATCACAAGCCTAATAACTTACATCGACATAACAAGAGGCGTTTGAAAAAAATAGATCATATAAACGAAAGGCGTTATAACAAAACAGTGGCAACAAACATGGATGACAAATTCAGGAGATTCGGATCGTTTTATTTGTTTCTTTGTTGTTTAATATTCCAGCTATATGACGGCGATCTGTAAATAATCGAGTCTGGACCAGACAATCCAAGGGTTGACATCATGAGCACCGATCCACGCAATTGGGGTACGATGACATGCACCAACCTGACCACCCGATCCCGTAAGTCGCCTCTAGCGACAAGCATAGTCGCCTTTTTCGGCAAGCATGGGTTGCTGAAGACCTATTCTAATGGACGATTGTCAGGTAATTATCATCCCTTCTGAAAAGCTCTTACTGACGAGTCAACATATACGTACATGCATATGTTTAATTCTCATAAACACAACCTATATCAGTTTTGGTAAGTAAAAGAATGCCCTTATTCCTCTTTTTACTGAGGTGGCGTGACATAATATAAGCGGGAACGCATGAGGGACTTGTAAAGAAGCATGTCTTGGGTTCTAATCTACAACAAAGCTGGTACATATAGAACATATCTGTGTTAGGAACGCTATGACTCTGCCAATCCTGCGTATGATTAGCCTGTGTAAGTATGAATGCGACTGACAATGACCTTCAAATTCCGTTGGTTCAACTTCCATGGTAGTTGTTGGAATAGGTGTTGGTAGAGACGTTGTTGACACGGTTTGCAACGTCGTGTATTCTGTAGATAAACACAGGGTGACACTCGTATGACTGTGTGAAGCTAAACATTATCATACATATATGAGTCTCGAGATGTTTATTTTAAAACCATATGATAAAGAGAATGTTTCTGTAGGATATGTTTTAAGTGGGAATATAGATGAAGGCTAGTTTTTATCCATATGTTTATTTTATCATCCAAGACAGGCTTCCACAGGAGAAATATTGCCTGGAGGGAAATTGCATCACATTGCTTTGCAGGCCATTGTGATGATATCGGTAATAATGACGTCATAATCATCGGTGACAATGAGGTCATCATCAAATGACGTCACTTATCACTCCTGGGTGCCGTTGTACAAAACTACTTTAGAGCTAAGACTGTCGTAAGTCTATGTTTAGGTATGGGAGCTACGATCACCTTAGCGCAAAGATCGCTCTGTTCAACGGCACCACGAAGCCTTTTTGCTATACCATTTACACACACTTTTTATATTAGCATGGGTGTCGTTGATTTAAAAAAAAAAATCTTTAAACTGTTTACTGAAAAAACATCACGACAATGACCGTCCTTGTTCAATGCTCGTTGCAGGGCTCCACTTCAGACACTATCCGTCGAATTCCACACAGTTTGTTATTCCTGAGCCTAAACGGGGAAAAACTTTCTTCTTTTCTTATTTTTTGTGGTAATTACACAAGCGGTCTGGTATAAGAGCCATGAAAAGAAGAATGTCTGATATTTGTTCCATGATTTACGGTATTCATGATGAACAGTCGTGTTAAGAACTCTTCATATCTTAATCCTGCGTATGATTAGCTGATGAAAGTATTACTTCAACTGACAATAACCTTTTTGTTCTGTTGGTTCAATTTCTACTGTACTGGTTGGAATACTTGACAGAGAAGTTGCTGATACGGTAGAAAACGGTGTGTGCTCTACAGATAAACACAGGATGACACACGTTTTATTAAATATAACTGTACATTAAAATACACACTATGTTTCGAGTTATGTAAATCATGTGATGAAACAAGATCCTTTGCCATAAGCACAAGACACTATAAATGTTATAAACTTGAATTGGAAATATTCTGTTTCAGGTTCTCAAATCAACGTAGGGATATTGACATAGACCATCCTCCTTCCAGAGGCTTGATATATACCGTGTACCACAAAGAAATGTAATGTTTCCTTGTCAAGTGTATAGTACTGCGTGACTATCTCAGCACTACAAGTATTCCAGACTAACCTGCTTGAGTTTGGGTTTTAAATACTAAGGGAGGTTTGTTGGCATCGGCTTGGTTCCTGGAGGACAGCTGTTTAACCATGCCTCGCAGCCGGCTGTACAGGGCGTTTCTTGGGACAAAGGTTGTCAAAGAAGCTGGTGTGGGGACATCGATGACTCTCGAAACTGTAAAAGTCATTAATATTATTGTGCAGATTTCAAACATATCATAAACGTACACATCAATACTTGCCTTTGACAGAAAGCCGTCATACAGCTGGAATATTGCAGAATACGGCGTTAAACAACAATCAAGCTCAACACATCTTTAATAGAATTGTTACACTGCGACAATTTGTAATCTTATCCAGGATTACTTTTCTTTAATTCTCACATTCTCATGTATGGGTAATACTCGACGCATACATGAAAAATTGTGTCATTTTAGTTTGTTGTGTTTTGAGCAGTGAGAATGATCAAACCATGACTGGAGCTGTAGTTTAGATACGATACATCTGTGTGTTAACTTTGGAACAAATATCCAAAGTGTTGACGGTCAAAGTTATTCGAGCTGATAATACATTGATAAACTCCACTGATGGCGACACATCAAGGTCTATAATCAGGTCTAATTCGGGATTTCAAACTGACACCCACAAGAATCGCCCGAGTTCATGAGACCATCTGTGCCATTGCCGCAATAGCTGGAAAGAACTTCGGATCAATTCGGATCCTTGCATCCACGGAACGCAACTCTGCATATAGACTGTAATCATTGGAGTGGTAACACTGCATCAGCAGTAAAATTCGGACCGGGCGAGAACATGCATGAAGAAAATATTTGATTCCACCTCTAGATGTTATTAAATATTTGGTCACAAACCTTTCTCCGACCGTTGGGGCTCTTCCGCTGCTCTAGCTGCAGGAGATGAGGTGAGAGTTGCGCTTGTTGTTGTCGTTACTCTATCTGTTACAGAATATAAAGAAACTGAATATATACATCAACATTTTCAAAAAGGAAGTATATTCGTCACAACAACAAATACAATATCTGTGGTCTGTGGTACCTGAGTCAGTAGTAAATTGACGGTTGATAACGTTCTTGCCACGCGGAAAACTGGAAATGCACTCAGTTTGGTGACACACTTTTAAAACACAAGAACAATTGTGCCAGAAATGTAAAGAAAGGTAACATTTTAAGCCTAATCTTAAGGATGCGAATTTTTGGGTTTCATTCCAAAGGTGTAGACAAAGTGAACAATCTGCCAAAATTGCATTGCAATAACATGTCATGTGACAGGACACTTAACAAAATACATATATATTATCATAACATATAGCAGTATATTCGTGTGATGTCCCTTTCTTCTGTTTAACTCGTTGCAGATGGATGATTGAATGAAACTGGAGCAGTAACTAATATGAATGCATGATTGGTCCGACATTCATTTGTTCTATAATGTACTACCATACACCATCACCCTATCGTTATGAGTTTAGTTTCCAGTATATTTGGAATCCCTACACGCCTCAAAACATACATCGACATAAGCATTAGCGGACATTTTAATACAATTAGAACAAAAGCAGTCAAGCAGTAAAAGGACCACAAACGGAAGCAACAAGCATGGTCATGTATTCTAAAATGACAAGTTCAATACATCATCTGGTAATAGACGAGGGTCACATGAGAGTCAACAAGGATCAAGCACCTACTAAATGGATAACCTTTCACCACATTTTCGTTCTTTTACTTAATCTAAAAACAGCTTTGGTCCATATGTTAAAAATGCATAATAAAACTCCTCAAATAGCATATACAAATATTGAAAAGAACACAGCTATATTTTCATCTGTATTAAAAGATACTGTAACTTGTTAAAATTTTGCATTTAATATTATTCCTCTTTCGTAAGGTTTATTGTCGACCTGTAAGGGCCATTGTGCTGACTGATATACGGGCCATGACAAGAAGAATACCTGAACATGTATTCCATGATTTACGGTATTCATAATGAACAGTCATTGTAAGAACTGTCCTGTCGGCAAATCCTGCGCACGATGATAGTATTAATTCAATTGATATTATCCTAATAAGTTTGTGTGCCCAGTTTGTCCGATATTCATTACTTCTATACACAACATGGAGTAATGTAACACTAGAGTGGGTGAGTGAATGTGGTTTTACGCCGCTTGTAGTAATATTACAGCACCAACCCACTAAAACAACTGGACTGCAATCAGGTTTAGTCGCATGTGTATTTTGAATAATCACAAGCCTAATAACTTACATCGACATAACAAGAGGCGTTTGAAAAAAATAGATCATATAAACGAAAACGTTATAACAAAACAGTGGCAACAAACATGGATGACAAATTCAGGAGATTCGGATCGTTTTATTTGTTTCTTTGTTGTTTAATATTCCAGCTATATGACGGCGATCTGTAAATAATCGAGTCTGGACCAGACAATCCAAGGGTTGACATCATGAGCACCGATCCACGCAATTGGGGTACGATGACATGCACCAACCTGACCACCCGATCCCGTTAGTCGCCTCTTACGACAAACATACATGTAGTCGCCTTTTTCGGCAAGCATGGGTTGCTGAAGACCGATTCTAACGGACGATTGTCAGGTATTTAAGATCCCTTCTGAAAAGCTCTTATTGACGAGTCAACATATGCGTACATGCATATGTTTAATTCTCATTCATAAAATGTTATTCATCATACTTGTCAGTATTTACATAAAGTTTATAAACACGGAACTGCACTCTTAAATGATGAGTGATATTTATAGTTCAATGAAACATAATGTCGCAATGTTAAACAACTGTTGGCAACATTTGAAACATGTACCACACTTTCTTGCATATGATTGTACATCTGCCTTTATATTAGCGTAAGCGCAGTACATGTTAATAAAATCAAGCATGTATTATGGGCCTTTGGCCTGTAATAAAGAATCTGAATCTGAATCATATAAACACAACCTATAACAGGTTTGGTATGAAAAAGAATGTCCTTTTGCCTCTTTTTGCTGAGGTGGCGTGACATAATATAAGCGGGAACGCATGAGGGCCTTGTAAAGAAGGATGTCTTAGGTTCTAATCTACAACAAAGCTGGTACATATAGAACATATCTATGTTAGGAACGCTATGACTCTGCCAATCCTGCGTATGATTAGCCTGTGTAAGTATGAATGCGACTGACAATGACCTTTAAATTCCGTTGGTTCAACTTCCATGGTAGTTGTTGGAATAGGTGTTGGTAGAGACGTTGTTGACACGGTTTGCAACGTCGTGTATTCTGTAGATAAACACAGGGTGACACTCGTATGACTGTGTGAAGCTAATCATTATCATACATATATGAGTCTCGAGATATTTATTTTAAAACCATATGATAAAGAGATTGTTTCTGTAGGATATGTTTTAAGTGGGAATATAGATAAAGGCTAATTCTTATCCATATGTTTATTTTATCATCCAAGACACACTTCCACAGGAGAAATATTGCCTGGAGGGAAATTGCATCACATTGCTTTTCAGGCCATTGTGATGATATCGGTTATAATGACGTCATAATCATCGGTGGCAATGAGGTCATCATCAAATGACGTCACTTATCACTCCTGGGTGCCGTTGTACAAAACTACTTTAGAGCTAAGACAGTCGTAAGTCTATGTTTAGGTATGGGAGCTACGATCACCTTAGCGCAAAGATCGCTCTGATCAACGGCACCACGAAGCCTTTTTGCTCTACCATTTACACACACTTTTTACAAACTCAACATGTTGGAAGAATGATTTTGGAGAATAAATATAATCTCACCCGAGTGATTTCGTTCGTTTTGACTCGTGATGATATGTTTGATGTAAAAAAACACGAGGGTGAGATTCTCAATATAGCACCTGGATTTGACATGTACCTTAGCCTGACTGTAACAGACCCAGTACTGAATGTATTCTAAACTAACCTGGTTTAGTTACACGATTGACTATTAAGGATTGTCCTCTTCCATTGTTCAACAGCTTCACCATGCCCAGCAACCGGTTGTACATATCCTTTCCGGAGACTAAAGCAGTCATGGAAGCTCGGGTAGGGACATCCATGGCTTTCGAAACTGAAATAAATATAAAACGTCAAAACCAGATAATTATCAGTGTCGATTATGTGCTGAATCAGGTTCCGGGTCTAAATAATGATGAAATTAATCCGTGGGGACACCAGGTGTTCTCAAAAAGGGTAAGCGCGCCCTACCCTATCGGTAGTCAAATTAGGCTATTAAGTTTTTAGCAAATTCCGGATACATGATAAACACCAGTTGTATCGTTTCACAGAATAGTAACATTGTCAACATCAATAGTACCTTTGCTTATACGTGCCTCCTTCCGTCACATTTGGTCATACTGTACACATGCATGTTACTACATTTTGCGTCAGTTTTGCTTAAAACCAAAAAAATGTTTGGTGGCGTTTCTTTTGCCTGTTAGTCTATACGTATACGGTACAAGTACAGAGTGTGTTGGCTTTTGTTTTGTTTGGTGTTTAACGCCACACTCAGCAATATTCCAACTATATTACGGCGGTCTGTAAATAATCGGGTATAGACAGATAGTCCAGTGATTGATATCATGAGCATCGATCCACGCAATTGGGATATGATGACATGCATCACCCAAGTCGGCGAGCCTGACCACCCGATCCCGTTAGCCGTTTGTGTGTTGCCTTGGCCTCTCAAGACACGCATGAGTTGCTGGATTTTCATAGGTTAGTGTGTTGGCAAATAAACAGGAGATATATTTAGTGAATATATTATTCTGCGTTTTTTCATTAATAAGGCTATAGTTAGCAACAAGTTACACACACACACACACACACACACACACACACACACACACACACACACACACACACACACACACACACACACACACACACACACACACATACAGAGAGAGAGAGAGAGACACACACACATACACACACACACACACACACACATACATACATACATACTATTCGAACTGTATTACAGGCCACTGTGTTTCAATCTAATGGTAGGGCGAGGTGTGTGTGTGTGTGTGTGTGTGTGTGTGTGTGTGTGTGTGTGTGTGTGTGTGTGTGTGTGTGTGTGTGTGTGTGTGTGTGTGTGTGTGTGTGTGTGTGTGTGTGTGTGTGTGTGTGTGTGTGGAGGGGGGGCAACAGGAAAAGTCTAAAGTATATACCTTTTTGGGGAAATAACGTTGTCAATTGGGCTGTAGCAGGGGTATTTTCCATGGCTGTTGAAGCTGTTACTGTAACAAAACATTTGTATGTCAAACATCATCTGGGTGCATTGACTCGATCAATTGGATCAACTCGATCTTGTAACTTAGGTTCCAGTTTATTGGCCAAGCATGATGCATATCAAAACAGTACATTGGAAATGTACAAGAATAAGCTGTTTTTCCATATAACGTCAAAGAAAACGTCTTTAAGGGTATACATACATGTTATAAAAAAGTTTAAGTGAGCAATGTTGATATCTATTTCTCTACTTTCGTTTTCATTATTTAATTTATTCATTGTAAATACACATACAGTCGAACGTCGTTGTGTCGAACTTGGATGTATCGAAATCCCGGTTGTCAGGAACTCATTTGAGAGTCCAAAGTATCCAAATTCCCCTGATGTCTCGAACCCTGGATATATGTTTTGCAGGTCCCCACTTTTTGCATGACCGACTGTATTGGTAACTCTGTGGGGTCATCTAAGTAAGGTAATTGGTGCCTATTCCTTTTGAAGGACTAAAGTGGTTAGGGTGATTACGAGTTAAATAGAGTATCAAATACCATTTGTCGTATGCCATGAAACAGCGATAGAACATTATCAATCCACTGCGAACTGCTCCAATTAAGTTCTTTAATACGTGAGTATGGATTGTGTCAGCCTTCGTTATAAACAACGTCCACAGATGACCATGGAACACATATCTCAATCATTTCTAAATTTCATAGTCGAGCGGAATCTCCACAGGTGCAATAATATAGCTATTCGAGTATATCAAGGATATACAACGGGTTCAACGTCCTCTGCAAATGGTACTGAAGTTGTTGGAATATACAGTCGAACCTCGTTGTGTCGAACTCGAAAGTTTGAGTTACCCGGGGTTCGAGGCATCACGGAATATTACGCTTAATTTGGATACTTGGGACTCTCAAATGAGTTCTAGAGAATAGAGAATTCGATATATCCAAATTCGACACAACGAGGTTCAACTGTAGTTATAGCATCGTATGCATTGGAGGGACACGTGGTTGTTGGCCTGGGCATAGTTGGTGGCATGGTATGCCCTGTAGGAAAACATACCAAGAAATATCAATGCGTGCAATAGACGACAGATCACTTGGCCATTTGATGCAACCAACATTATAAAACGAATCTCCAACATAATGTCAGATAAATGTTTGTTAATTATCAAGAACATTATGCATCGTAACAAACCCTTCTTTTTCAAGTAACTTTCTGTCACGGTGGGTTCAACTTCTTTGCAATTGTAACTATAGCTGTTGGTCTGGAGTATGGTACGAATTGGGACGGTGTGCCACAATCAGAATATTGCGTTGAACTGGCTGGCCACGAAATATATAGGTGTTAGGAAGAAATGGATTAAGTACAGCGTGTTGTACGCTACATATTGTACATCTTGCTGTGTCCAGATAGCAGCAAAGCTCACACAAAGTGTAGCTGCATGTGAGTTATCTTTAATTGTTATCAATAATTCATCTATCAAAAGTGACCTTCCAACTCTGGGGGTTCAACCTCCTGTGCAGTTGTTACTGTTGTCGTTGGTCTGGACAATGTTGATGGCATGGTACGCTCTGTAGGGAATCATATCATTTGCCAGATCAGTCATAAGAACTTTAGTCAATAGCATAACCCCTTCCATAACCACAAGACATCTATGCTAAAAGAAGAGTCGACTGTACGCTTCCCACTATATTACCACCATGTGTTCATGAAACAGAAATACTTAGATATGCTGAAGCAATAATGAGCTTAATCTTTCAACAATATTATTTGATATTCTAACAGAACACTAATTCCTCTGACTGAAATGTTTGTTATAGATATAGCTTCACATTATAAAATAAACTAGAGTGAGTGAGTTGGGGGAAAGATCAATTGGAACAGTATTCCAGTTTTTGTATCATGGTGTGTCAGCTTCATATAGGACGAAAGCCTATCGACAGCCTATGGCGTTTATCGGTTGGTCAACCCAAAGGAGGAAAAGAACAGCGCGGATCACGATCAGGGACAATCTGGAATGCAAGCCCACGATCATGGGATCCTGACATGCCCAAGGAATGCATCTTTGCACGGTGAAGTTTGTCGCCTCAGACAACGGGGAAGTCTGTTCTCCATGTACCAAAATGGTTATATGTTCGTTTTTAAATTAGATACATTATAGTATGTTTTTGCATGTATGTTACAAAGACCTAATGTGTTTAGTTTCACTCTCAGACATTACATCACTGCATGATACTTTAATTTTTGAAAAATCATAATCGGAGGTAAGCTGAACCCGATAAAAAGGGGATCCTGGTTCGGCAACAACTACTTGCAGCAGCTTAGACAACTGTGTCACTTGTGCCCATTGATAAACAGAACTGATAAATACAGTCCACTGAATTTGAAGAGCGTGTTCGTTTCACTTTCTTTTGCAAGATATTCATCCACATTTATCTAAAATTCCATTTTCAAAAGAATCACGTCTTAAACTCTGGGTTTCTAACTGTGCACGATTAGCCCGTGTAAGTATTTATATGACAAAAAGTAACCTTCTAATTCCGTTGGTTCAACTTCCATAGTAGTTGTTGGAATAGGTGTTGGTAGAGGCGTTGTTGTCACTGTTTGCAACGTCGTGTGTTCTGTAGATAAACGCAGGATTATCACATTGACACATATGTTGTATTCCTAACAATTATGAAGTCAATGGGAGTGTGTGGTTAAATCTGACTGATTTTTGACTGGGACTAGATTCCGAAATTCTTCCAGAGTTTCCATTAGTATGAATATTTTTCAATGTTGATAAACATAACGTGTTTCAGATTTGCCGATATATGCAAATGTAGATCGTGTTTTACATGATACATACTGCGTCTGTCACATGGAATGTTTTGTGATTCACAAGGAGTATTTAGTGTATGTCCAAGAATATTTAGTATATAGCACATGAAATACACAATGTATCACACGAAATATACAGTATGTATATCATGGCATATTTAATGTATATCGTATGGAATGTTTAGTGTGTATCACTCTATATGTCATATATCACACTTATAGTACCATAATAATATTCAAATATTGCTATTACAATAAAGCATATAGTTCATACAAACCTGACCGAGTTCCGCTGTTGAATACTAAGGGGTGTTCTTTCACAGCCGTTCCATTCCTGGAGGACAACATCTTGGCCCAGTCTAACAACCGTTTGTACAGACCGTTTCCGGGACCTAAAGGCGTCAGTGGGGCCTTTGTAGGGGAATTTCCCAGCACTGTCGAAACTGTCACAAAACATATTTTGTTTATTACGTTAAATCTGTTACAGAACATAAGCACACAAACATTGTCATTTAATATCGTATGACATACTGTCCACTATTTGTTAAACCTGTTTCAAAACATAAGCACACAAACATGGTTATTTAATATCGTTATGACATATTGTCCACTATTTGTTAAACCTGTTACAGAACATAAGCACACAAACATGGCCATTTAATATCGTATGACATACTGTCCACTATTTGTTACGATGTTTTCAATATCAGGGATTAACACAAAGCATGTTGTACCTACAGACAACAGACAACAAACAAACAACTGTCCCAATGTTGCGATACTGTGGGATACAATATGCAACATATATCAAGTATTATATCCACCCAAACTATTTTTTTTTGTTCTTTGATTGGAGAAACAGGATGAACAATTCCCGTCCTTCACAAAAGATCAACAATTATGGCTAAACGTGTGTCGAACATGAAGCGGAAATGGTATTGATCAGAGAATGCGGTATGTGTGGTTTAGTGTAAAAAAAATGTAGGGTACGTACTTATATATTTTTAAGACCAAATACAAATGTAATCATGAAATAGCATTACCTTGTGTGAGAAATAACGTCCAAAGAAAAGCACCCATATCAATATGAACTGCCTTAGTAATTTATAAAGTTGTTAATGGTTTTGCATTGTTCTTCTAAATGTTCTTCATTATAAGGGAATTGAACCGGAAATTAAAGCAAATTCTATCTCAATATGCCATCTACTGAAGTTCTTTGAACACATTTTTTTAGTTCTCGTCACCTAAAATATAATCACGACATATCGCGATTACTAATTAGTATAACGTGTTGAAATACAGAGAAGGTGAAAACAATCCATTCGGGTGATACGAAATACTGCTTGCAGTGACTGCGAGTGATTGTATTTAACAGTACGTGCATCTCAAACTAGTTCACGAGCGCTTTTAGTACATGTGCACCTTTTTCCTTCATTTAAGGTTTTGCTGGTGACGCTGCACAGGCTGCTAAATATAGCCTCTCACAGTCACCTGACTGTCGACCCGTACCCGGATGTACCCACGAGATCAAAACTCAGTGATGAGAATTTTAGTTGAGTACTTAAGACTGTCATCATGTGATCGCTAGCAAAATGGATATTTCTTGAAAAGCGATTTACTGAAAGTATTATTCCTGATCTGCGGAATGGCTTGTTTTCGCGTTAACGCAACACTTGTATTGGAACACATTCGGCTATATTTAATTCATGATCACGAAATTTCGTGATTCTATTTCAAGCGGCGATCACTATAATATACTTTGACTTGCTGTACTCGAGAGAGTATTGTTTAAACTAGGGCACTAATACCCAAATATTCAAATTATTCAAAATAACCTTCCATCTCTTGGAGTTCAACGTCCTGTGCAGCTGTTACTGTAGTGGTTGGATTGGAGAGTGTTGGTGGCATGGTAAACCCTATCGGGAAACATACAATTGTCACAACATTGACTAGAACTGTGGAAGTCACGGCGTGCATACTATATAAGGAAGAGAATCTATTCTTTATTATGAGGAACACAAGATTTCGGAGCATATGCTTACTCCTTCATCACTCCGAAACGTTGTGTTCCTCATAATAAAGAAGTTGACATCCATAAATACTCTTCCTTATGTGTATCACTTCTCAATGGCTTTCAAAGACTTGACACATACTATATGTTTACAGAAGCAATAGGCAATGCTGCATGGTCACATGAAGCACTGTCCAGTTAGAGGCGACGATCAACTGTGTTGAAACCCATGAACACCTAGTGATAACGCAAGTATCGACGGCAACGACAGCAGATACGCTCAAGACTAAAGAACCCACTTCTGCATACTCACTTTTGGCACCTTAAGCCAAGTGTAATCAGGTCATCGATCATCAAGTATACAGGTAACAATGTTACCAGGCCACTCGACCACCTCGTCATCATATCACAAGGCCACTAGGTCACTGCGTTAGCATGGCACTAGGCCATTAGGCCATTGTGTAAGCACGGCACTAGGCAACTAGGCTATTGTGTTAGCATAGCACCAGGCCACTAGGCCATCGTGTTAGCATGGCACCAGGCCACTAGGCCATGATGATAGCATAGCACCAGGCCACTAGGCCTATGTGTTAGCATGGCACTAAGCCACTAGGCCATTGTGTTAGCATAGCACCAGGCCACTAGGCCATTGTGTTAGCATGGCACTAGGCCACTAGGACACATCGTTAGCATAGCACCAGGCCACTAGGCCATCGTGTTAGCCTGGCACCAGGCCACTAGGCCATGATGTTAGCATAGCACCAGGCCACTAGGCCATTGTGTTAGCATAGCACTAGGCCACTAGGCCTATGTGTTAGCATGACACTAGGCCACTAGGCCATTGTGTTGGCATAGCACCAGGCCACTTGGCCATTGTGTTAGCATAGCAGCAGGCCACTAGGCCATCGTGTTAGCATGACACCAGGCCACTAGGCCATCGTGTTAGCATGACACCAGGCCACTAGACCATCGTGTTAGCATGGCACCAGGCCACTAGGCCATGATGTTAGCATAGCACCAGGCCACTAGGCCATTGTGTTAGCAAAGCACTAGGTAACTAGGCCATTGTGTTAGCATGGCACTAGGCTAATAGGTCATCAGGTCATCATGGCACTGGCCACTCGGCCATTGTGTTGGCATGATACTACGCCACTAGGACATTGTGTTAGCATAGCACTAGGCCACTAGGCCATCGTGTTAGCATAGCACCAGGCCACTGGCCTATGATGTTAGCATAGCACTAGGCCACTGGGCCTATGTGTTAGCATAGCACTAGGCCACTAGGCCTATGTGTTAGCATAGCACTAGGTAACTAGGCCATTGTGTTAGCATGGCACTAGGCTAATAGGTCATCAGGTCATCATGGCACTGGCCACTCGGCCATTGTGTTGGCATGATACTACGCCACTAGGACATTGTGTTAGCATAGCACTAGGCCATCGTGTTAGCATAGCACCAGGCCACTAGGCCATTGTGTTAGCATAGCACCAGGCCACTAGGCCATTGTTTTAGCATAGCACAAGGCCACTAGGCCATTGTGTTAGCATAGCACCAGGCCGATAGGCCATCGTGTTAGCATGGTACCAGGCCACTAGGCCATTGTGTTAGCATGGCACTAGGCCACTAGGCCATTGTGTTAGCATGGAACTAGGCCACTAGGTTATTGTGTAAGCATGTCACTAGGCCCCTAGGCTATTGTGTTAGCATGACACTAGGCTATTATGCCATTGTGTAATCCCGACATTAGGCCACTATGCCATTGTGTTAGCATGTCACTAGGCCACTAGGCCATCGTATTAGCATGTTATCAGGCCACTAGACCATCTCGTCGTCATGGCAATATTTCATTAGGCCATCAGGCTATAATGTAACCAGGCCCCTAGACCACCTCGTCATCATGTCGCCAGGTCATTGGGCCATCACATCATCATGTAACCAGATGTTTGGTCATGTCTTCATCATGTCACCAGCTCATAAGGTCATCAGCTCAAGCCTGTATATTGTCAGAAAACATGATAACTTCTATGCAATATGTCTCTGATACAGCACACTTGGTCAAGCAGACTGCTCTTAACAAGAGAAGTCAAATATTATCATACACGCCTCTTGCAAATGAAGTGAATTTATTTGTAGTGAGTATGTTTGTGGGTTAACGATAATATCCTACACCCCTATTCAAGAAAATCATTTTAATAAAGTAACCTTGAAGTTCCACCTCCGTGGGTTCAACTTCATGTGCATTTGTTGCTGTGGTTGTTGGCCTGGACAAAGTCGGTGGCATGGTTTGCCCTGTAGTGAAACATATCAGTATCAAACCTTTGAGCAGAAAGTACTACTATTCAAAAGTAACCTTCGAACTCTGTGGGTTCAACTTCCTGTGTAGTTGCAACCGTGGTTGTTGGCCTGGACATAGTTGGTGGAAATTCCTATACAACTATATAGGCACACATATGCAATAGGAGATAGACCCATTGGACATTTGATGCAATACAGTCAGAAACGTATCTCACGTAATGTCAGATGCATGACTGCAAACTATCATAAGCATTGTATATCATGCTAGTGAGTGAGTGAGTGAGTTGGGTTTAACGCCGCTTTTAACAGAATTACAGTTATATTACGGCGTGTCAGCTTAATGTGGGAGGAAAGCCCGAAGTGATGCAGCTCTCAGACGTTTACCACTTCGGTGAAACCCACGAGCATGGGTATGGTGCTGACAAACCTAGAAACATAATCAGGGCGAACCGGGATTCGAACTGTCGTGCCCAAGGGACGCAACTCTGCATAGAGAATCGCGGCGCCTTAGACGACTGTGCCACCAGTAATATCGTAATAAGCCTTCTTATTCAAAAACAAAAATACAACCTGCCGATTACATTCGGCACAAAAGGTAAAATAGTTTATCATTTATCATACCTCCATGTCAGAATGATGAGATCTGATGTGTTAACGTTATCTTGATAAAATACGATGTATCCTGACTTGGAGGGAAATACATTTCTCAGCGGGAGAATACGTCCCTTATACCCCAATCCGAAGGAAAAGGCCTCACGCTTTTTTCTAGTTAGTGATGATCACGTGACATTGCACCAGTCAACCCCAGCTCAATCAAACATGTGATTTCTATCAATTTTGAAGAATCTGTTTTAATTATTTTACAATGTCATATTAAAACATGTCGGTAAGATAAATTCGTTGTAGCAGGATCACGAGGGGTGCATGGGGTTTTGTGCGTCCCTCGCTAGGCCCGGCTCGTGGCATAAAACCTAACGCGATAAATTAGTTGGTGATGTTTTTGTTGGTCTACACAATGTTGAGGGCAATGTCCTGGGAATATAAGTATCAGAACTTTAAGCAGAACAGCAAAGGTCAAGAGACACATGCGGACGGAAGTGACGTAACTCGTCGTGATCTTATCTGGCCATATG